ATTCCACTCTCATAATGGCGTAATCAATGACATCCTCCATGGCTGACTATGACAAACGCTTACAAAAACAAAGCTGAAGACGACCTCCCTTGGGATTTCTCGGTCGTGTACGCTGATTGATCTTTTCTCCGTTTACTGTCAAAATACAGTCACACGAGCAGTAGGCGAGGTGTCATGATTAATAAGTGAACCGCTCGACTGAAGAAATATTTTCTTTTGCAGCGACCATAAAGCACCGGTCCCATGTAACCGATGATGATAGCTGTAACCATGAATTCGGTTTCCTGAAGTTTGTCTGGGAAATGGTTTTGGATATGAACCCGATTCGAGGAAATCGGTGGCGATGATTCAGGACCCTAAATCGGTGGGCAACATGGATATTCAATACAATTTCTCAAAGACCTCACTCAGGAAACCACGTGTTATAGTTTAGATCTTTGGCTACTATAAGAGGCATCGCTGTTTCTATAGGATCAAGGCTCATATCAGAATATAACGTCCCCGAGAGCCCGTATAGAAACAGCTTTACCTCGAATATTAAAGCAGTCCATGTACCGAATTCACAAAAAAATCTACAAAGTATACTTACTTTATCGTTCTTGAGTAAAGATTGTTTAAAACATCGCAGAAAATCTGAGACACTGTCTACACAAATTCGCTGGAAAGTTGCCTGAATAACGATCATTCGGGAATCGCACACAAACACACTGTACTGTATGGTATCCGCGCTCGCAGAAAGAAACTTTTTACATGTAAACCAATGGGGATTTCAGCAAAATTTAACTATGCGGCCCGTTACTCGGGGCAACGGGCATCTTTCCCATTAACTATTGACCCATTAGGCGGGCATGGCAAAATCACCACTGCAATTTCAACCAATCAGATGACTAGATTTATTCAACATACTCAAAAGAGGTATATCATTCTGGTTATCATTATCGTCATAGGTAATAATGTGACTGGACCTTTAACGTATTACGTAATCTGAACATGATTTCCAGGGGATCAAACAACAGGGTTTTGGAATTTTTAGAAAGTCTATGCAATCGAGTAATGGATAAAACGTAAAGCGTGTACTATTCTCGGGAATGCTGTAAACATGATGAGATTTATAATTTCCAAACGTACGGGAATAGATTGAAAAGTCTATGATCCAAGCAAGTTAGGTTGCATAACTTGCAAAGGATGGATGCTTCTCATTTTTTCTGACCTAAATTTTTTTTTCAATGTAAAGGGTAGGATACATTTTTTGATTGAAAAAGTAATTGGATATTCGGGATATATGAAAAGGCCAGCACACGCACGTGCCCACTTTGCAGGGTCATGAAAACATCGATTGAAGATTTAGGGGTTCTCCAATTCTGTAAGCGGAAAGAAAATTGACATCAAACTTGTTGATAAATATTCCATTATATCCTGCATCAAAAATGTATTGGGTTTTGATCGGTTGAGAGCTCTATACGTGACCAGAAATATCTCTACCATTTTAAGGTTGCTCTGAAAAAGTGCGATTCGGGAGTTTACTTGGGAATACTATTTGGTGAAAGAAAAACATTATTTAAAGATTTGATAAGATTTTTTTGTTTAAATCTTTGTTTAAATCTTTAGATTTGATTTGAATTTTTTTGTAATTATTTCTATTATAAACAAATTTTGAGATGCAGAATATAATACTAATATACCTACCTTTTTTCAAGGTAATGGTTTAAACTATGGGCCTCGATAACTCCAGTAGTAGTAGTAGTATTGGATACGTGAACATTGACCTGTACAATCTCTAATATAACGGAATTCGGAACTTACGGCGGAATATAAAATACCCCTGTGTCTTGTTGCTGTTGTTGTTGTTGTTTGTTGTTGTTGATAACATAAATGTAGTAACACACGTTTATATTTGTCTTCCCTTAGATTGAATAATTGGAATATTGAAAAGGTAATGCTTTAATGTGACAATAGCCTGCTATGGAAATGCATCTTACGTGTGGAATAAAAAGCGTTTACATGTACACGTACCATAAATAGTCCATAAACATGTATGCTAATTTGCTTCGGTATTAAGTCAGGAAAATACTCGCACAGATCCTTGAAGAAATATCTAATAAATTATATTTCTCTTGACTCTAGTTGGCGTTGATTTACTCGTCTACTTGAAGACTAGCATTGGAGAGTTGTAAACAGAAACAGGAAAAAGACCTCGTTTATAATTTAGAGTGTATTGGAGACAGATTAGTTCAAGTTTAATTATTCATTATAGCTCTTCCGAACAGGGCAGTAAATCTTCTAGGTAGTTAGACCGTCACTGCTCCTTTCCTTCTTCTCGCACCTCATACATTCTCTTCTTTTTAAATTCAGTTTTTTCTTTTCTTCCTCGAAGCGTTTTTTCCTTTTCTGTCTTCTCCATTTTTGGCCTCTACTTTTTTGCGCTTTTTCTCCAATGTATTTTTTTTCCCGATCGATCCTTATCCTTTTCTTTAACTTTTTCTCCCCTTTCTTTTTCATGTTTCCTCGGTCTTTCTCCTTTATTCTGTTATACTTTTTATTCTCCTTCTCCTTCCTTCTCCTCCTTCCAAAATGTGGTATATCAATTATGACACGTCTATATAGACAACAGTTCTTTCCATTTCATTTATTTCCGTACCATACTTGTTTTAACCCCTTCCATCACAGACTCATGTTCGGTTCGTTTTCAATATTGTTTCTATGTTTGTTCTAATTTTAGGATGTTTGACTGTTTGCTTGTTTCCATTATGGAGGAGGGGATATTCCATTTGTTCTTCTAAATATCAAGGCTATTTGCTATTAGTATGTATAACATTGTGCATTGTATTTCTTCTAACATTTTTTTCTGTAATAAAGTATTGGAAATATTAAAACTTTTGATCACTGCTGCAACTAATTTTAATATGTTTCTTCTACGAGCGCGTGTGTAATATAGGCAGATACCGGAAATCATAGTTTCAAATCTAATTTATTCTGGTTGATAAATAACAAGATACTGACAATCCTAAACGACGAGGAAATTTATTTCCTTAACGGTGAAGTGATAGATAATCAGATGTTAATGGCACTTAAGAGATCCATGCCACGATGCAATTTACATTTTACTCTTAAAGGCAGGGTATTTCACCGACCTCGCTACCACTGCTGTAGATTTCCGGTACCTGTACCCAAGCATCTTCCGATATTTTTATTTGTTTTGTTTCATCTTCCATTTTGTATCTCTCATCTCTCTTTAAATATATATATATGTCCTTCAATCTCTCTGAGATACGAATTGGAGCACGAGTCATCAGTAGCTATGCCATCGCGTGATTCATGAATTCTACGTAGTTGTGAACAACATCAGTTCGGCCATATCCACCTTGCCCTTTCTCTTCTTGAAAACAAAATTATTTGAAGAAAAAAAAAACATTTTTCCTTCCGTAACTTTCACGAGCAGATCGTGATCTCCTGTGCTGATTTATCTTCAGGAAGATGTTCTGAAAAATTCCTCTTCGTGTATTATTCAAAATGTGAAGAGTTGTATGGCAAAGCTATTAAATATTCATCAAGCCTCGCAAACACAAGCTGTTACACCGAACACTCGAGATTGAAAACTAGTTCTTTTTTTCTCTCGACCCCAGCTGTCCCTCCAATTCAGTGATAACCTTTGGGACCTAGCCATTAAAGGTAAGATGGAGTTCTGGCCATGGGATTGTATCGTGAAAGAAAGTGTCTGAAATTCATTGTGATTTGTCAGGTTTTGAATTCATCGAAATAAGATAAGTATTGTAAAGATGCGCTACTAATGAAATACACTGACTTGTGATATGTGTACATCAGATGGTCGGACTACCTACCTCCATCTGGTATCAAATTCCTGATTTTACATATTTCTAGTGAAGTTTAAAGTTTGAAGACATTCCAACAAATATATTCTGTACATGTGACCTTGCTCTTACAAATTTCCTGTACCTAGGAATAACAAGAATGATCAAATTCAATTAATATTGCTCTTGTTCCAGATTTCAGCCTTTTCTTAAACACCCCCATGGTCCCCTGCCCTTACTACAAGACCACTTGCGGAGTTGCCGTGGCTTTTTTGTTGATGTTTGGCCTTAGGCGAATGTTGTAAAACATGTAGATTGACTGCGTGTTGTTGGCGTCCGCCATTATCGTACAGTTGTGAAGCAGAAAATGTGTTAGGCTATGCCATATTTGCAGGGGCGTCACTAGAGAGGGATGGGAGACATTATTATTTTATATAGTTATATTCATATTTTAGTCACACTGAGCTTTATGCTTGCGCTGTAACATTCCTATATCGTGTGAAAATACTTGATTTTGATATGCATTAAGCGTTTAACTTATTCTTGCTATTTTATTTAAATGTTCTGTACAATGTAATGTACTGCTTTGGCAAAACAAATGCATGACATGTAAATGTATTAAATGTAAATATAACAATAATGAATGAATATGAACATTCGAATTAAAAAAAGGATGGAAAAAGCTCATATAGAAAGTTATGGATCAATCAATTAATGGCTATTTTGTCAACTAGTTTTGGTCCCATTCGTGCTAATGAATAAGCTCCAGCTATACGCTCTCATGTCGATATACTGTATATTTAGTGTTAGCTTTATAGGCCCAATTTTGCCGAAATGAATTGGTAAAGCTATTAATTCTTAACTATATTTATTATGACTTACAGCAGAATTTTTCATCCCAAGTAGGCTAACCGTCACCCATTACACACCCCTACCCATCATACCCACATGCAAACCAATCCATGCCACACACCCTAACACATCAAACACACCCTCATCCATCACGAACACCCTCACCTACCACGAAGACCACCTATCACACCCACACACACACACACACCCTTACCCGTCACATAGGCCCTAGTCAATGACGAACTCCATCACCGATCACACACACACTCACCCACCACGCACATCCTCAGCCATCACGCACACCCTCACCAACAACGCTTATCCTCACCCGTCACACAGGCCCTCACCAATGACGAACGTCATCAACGATCACACACACCCTCACCCATAACGCACACACCCGCACCCATCACGCACACCCTCACCAACAACGCTCACCCTCACAGACAACGCTCACCCTCATCCATCACGCACACCCTTACCAACAACGCCCAACCCCATCCATCACGCACACCCTCACCCATCACGCACACCCTCACTGACAACGCACACCCGCATCCATAACGCACACACTCACCCTCATCCATCACACAACCCTCATCCATCACGCACACCCTCATCTATCACGCACACCCGCATCCATAACGCACACACTCACCCTCATCCATCACGCACACCCTCACTGACAACGCTCACCCTCTCACTGCCCGCGCACTCACAGGAATGTATGCACCTGGAATGCACTTGAACGCCTACGGGGGCTACCTTAGATCAGGTCCGTGGGTCTCCTAAGTGACAGGGCCCTCAATCGAGATGGAGTAGTGTCAACGAACATGGTCACTAGAGATGAAACCCGTAGAGATGAGAAATCAATAACAGGATCGTTCACACTACTGGCAAATATCGCGGATCCAAAACCGTTGTTTGAAGGTCAAAATACACTAATTTTACGGCGTAAAACTAAAAGCCTCACGATTTATTTATTTTTTATTTTAAAAAAAAACTTGTTTCTTTAAAACCTCTCTTTTTATAGTTAAGTCTCAGTCGGAAGTAATTACAGCTTGGTCGTATATCATTGAGCACTGCACTGTATTACGCTATTAAATTTTTTTAAATCCTTCAAAAAATTGTACCACTCCTCAAGCCCCATCTGTTGATGGGTTCTGGTACTCATGAAGCCGTGACGGTAATTCTATCACCCTTGTTTACCATTACCGAGGAAATAGCATCCCATTCATGTACATCCAAATCGGACGACTTCTTCATGTGTTCACGGCTCACGTGTCAAGAAAATTCACTTGCATAACGCGCAAATTTACATTTAGAATGTAAAACGGACGATTTTCAGTATCTTCACTTCTGGTCATGTGCAGAAAAAGAACATTGCCCAAGTATAGATTTCAGAATTTAAACCACATGAATATGCATATGAACTTCGAATTATTGATATTTCGTTCGTCAAACTACAGATTATGTGGTTTTGATTTCATGGTGCATGTCTTTATTTCAGAATTTAAAGAAATATCTACCTGATTATGGTCTCAACGACTGCGGATCATGTCTCGGAGAATGACGTTTTCAAGTTTAGATTTCACAATTATAACAATTAAATGGGCTTGTAGTCTTTCGACTACGGCTCACTTGTTGGCGAAACAATAAAACGTTCACCTGCATGACGCAAGTTTAGATATCAGAATTGCAGAATTGCAGAGCTGCGACCTATATATTTGCTTCAAAATGGAAACCAATACGTTTGTCGGCAAAACATATCAATCTCATGATGCTTCCTGGATGGTATTTTGAGAAGGTAGCTATTTATTAATCACACTGTTGATCATAAAGTTGTAACAAATATTTCCTACCTTTTTTCGGGAAATGATTGTTGCTAATATTATAATACCCTCAGAAAAAAATGCACAAAAAAGCTTACTACCCAAAACTTTCCGTACAAATAACCCACATTCAAGCTTTGCATCGAATTTTAGGCTTAACCAAAAAGAATCTGATTTTTATCACGAAGTCTTAGATTTTTCCTTTAATCTGCATCCATCAAACTTGCTCTAAGAACAAAAACAAGACTCTGTATAGCACATGGGTTGGCACGAACATGACTATTTGGTTGCACGGTTTAAGAGCCTTTCGGCGCTTTGCGCTTTATGTCTGGTGCAAAATGGGTTAACTGCCTCTTCCCAAGGCATTCGGTTTCAGTAATTACATGATCATGTTTGCCTAGAGGTCATAAGCAATGCGAAATGCACACTGCATGCGTTTATTGTTTTTTTGTTTTTTTCATTTAACAGAAAATTGGTAGGTGTAAATGATGTGATAAGACAGGGCTAATGTTGATCTAAGGGGAATGAGAAAATATCGCCATGATCACCCCTGACAATTATTTATTTTCTGCAGGCAAGCTAACAGAACCTTTAATCACTTATTGTTCTAGTTATCACTTTTTTCTTTTGCATAAGATTTAAGTTGATAAGCATATTTTACAATAACATTTTTGTTCTATTTCCTAATCTTCATAACTTTTTTTTTTTTTTTAATTGTGGAGTACGCTGATTTTGGTAGCATAGTAGGTATTTTATCAAAGCTGGAACAAAATATTATCTTGCCCAAACTCCGGACAAATATTGTTATAACCCCATTACACATTTAAACACCATCGGGAGTACAGAATGGGCAATTGCCAACCCTTCCCCATAACTATGTGATCTACCCCCCCCCCCCCCTCTTCCACCATCTCCTTCCCATAATCCCATGGATGGATCTGCACCACTCCCCCCCCCCCCGTGTTTAACGTTCACATTTTTAAAAGGATCAAGAACTAGGCCTCCTATGATCGATGTTATATTTTTCAGTTTGTATATGTTTATTTCAATAGTAAAGGCGGGTCTTATGTAAAGCGCGTTCGTGGTTTGGTGGATGATTTCCTTTCTAAGCATGCCAGCCAAGCTGACGAGGGTATCCATTTTGTGCAGTTTCTTCATATTTGATAAGTTTTTAAATCAGCACCGACTTTCCTCTTTTCTTGTCTCTCCTTTGCTCCCACTTTTTGTTAATCTCTTTCTTTCTCTCTCTCTCTCTCTCTCTCTCTTCTATGTCTCTCATTCTTTCATTTCTTTCTTTTCTTTGTTATCCCCTCTTTTTTAATTATCTATCTATCTCCCTCTCTATATATCTTTCTCTCTCTCTCTCTCTTTCTTTCTTTCTCTCTCTCTCTCTCTCTCTCTCTCTCTCTCTTTCTATTATTCTCAATATTTCCCAACCCCCCTATGCCCCTTCATGAAACTGCTATTTACCCCTGCCTATTTTCATACTGCATTTCGGACCCGCCTACATGTTTATCTCCTTCCGATAGGTACGACAAATACTCTCGAAGGACAGAACCTAAACAGCGTCTGATTCCTAATCATTTACAATATCAAAGAATTTTACTCCACGGGAAAACTCTGATTGCGATTTAATGTAGCGCCTCCTCCCAATTCATTACAGGTGATGAGATAAATTGCGAAGGTTGTGCTCTGGAAATACGACTATAGAAAACATCCTCTTCGGCGGAAAAGAAATCAATGGCGGATGTCTGATAAGATTTTTCCAACAAGTTTTATACGCTTTTCTCGACCAAGCAGTCGAAGATCCTACGAATTGTTTTGTTCAAAAATGCCAACAAAATAGGGCAGTCCTTTTCTTCCTTCGCAACACCCCTACCTCTAAGATCTAGTGTGTGAAAGGCAGTTTAAATATGTCTCAACGACTCTACCTTTGAATATTAGTGTAGTTGGCACTTGGATGGAGTAGATGGATAACCACTTTTGATATTCAACAGATATAGAGGTGGCGAGCAGTGAACTTTTGTGGACATCTCTCTCGCCCCCGCCCCCCCCCCCACCACTACTCCACCCTCCTCCCGACTGTGTCTCCTCTTCTCTTTCTGCCTCTCTCTCTCTCTCTCTCTCTGTTACTCACTTTATGTTCCCGATTTCTCTTTCTCTCTCTCTGTCTTTCACTCCCTCCTCTCCAACCTAGTTGTTTATTCACGTTACTCAAATCGTCAAATCACTGACGAAGTAGTCCTCTCAGTTTACAAATTGGATGATTTTTGGAAAATATTTACTCAGCAAAGTGTCACGACCGATGCAATGTCACTGTCCTAGGAAATACTGTGAAGGTCATAATTTTTTTCATCGATTGATTTCATTTATCGGTATTCCGGCTCGGGGGGGGGGGCCTTTGGCAATTAAAGAGTTTATGTTCATTTTGTTATATCATTAATCGAATTCTCATTAAACTTTCCTGTAGTTGTTATTGTACTTGTATGATGTCGCAATTGCTACTCTTACGCAGTTTCATGATCTGTCTTAAATAAATGAACTTTGAACTTTGGCCTCTCCCGTTCAGATACTACGTTGTGCTGCATCCACTCCAGGCCAGGTCCTTTGTGACGATGGGGAGGGCTAAAAGGGTCATAACAGCTCTTTGGTTAGCTTCATGTATTTTTTCAAGTCCCGCCATATTTAGCAAGGTAAGCATGTTCTTTTTCCTTTGATATTTGCTATTTCACCCCCCCCCCCACCCACATACACACACACGAACACATAAACACACTCTTTTGCGATTATCATTTTTATTCTTGAGAAAAATACAAAATTAATAAACAACATTGTTATTGTCCGGACTCAGCATTCTAGTGTTGTAGCTACCGGACGCCTTGGGGGCACCCCAGTAGAATGGCAAACAAAGGGGGGGGGGGCATAAAATAGTGATAGAAGATCGGAGAAAGGAGGGTAAGATAGAAAGCGTTGAAAAAAGACGATGTTTGCGCTCTTCGCTCTACAACTTCAGCCACATTGTAGTTCTTAATTATTTGCATTTCATTCACGGATTCCCCCCCCCCCCCCAGCATGAGTGCCCCGGAATGGCTGGACCACGGTACGCCATGTAATCTTCATATAAGTCCGTGGGGCACATTTTTATATCTGGGAAGCGGTATCATTTTTGTTTTGGTAGTAGTTTTATTATTTTTTTGTTATTTCATACGTGTTAAACGGTTGTATACACTTAGTGCATTCGTTATTAACCAAACTGTAACTGAAATGTAATTCTTTTTTTATCAGGTACTATTGCAATAATGTAAAATAAAGCAATGATGTGGTAATCACATGGGCAGTGAAAATGAATGTCCATTGCATTGTCATATTTTCGACCCAATGCTAAAAAGACTTCCTAGAAATTTCAGTTGTTTGATAGCCTACATTCGTAAGAACGGTACTTGAGGGAAAAGTCGAATCAGTATTCTTTGAAGAGCTGAATTATAACGGGCACTACACGTAAGGGAGTGATAATGGCCGGATGAGTAATGACCCATCGTATACTGTAAATTGACCACCGGCTTTTAAGGAGTAATTGATGGTTATAGGTACATTAACAATATGAAAGATGAAACAAAGTGAAACAAAGTGACAATTAAATCAAAACTTTGAGTGGTCTTATCGTCGAAATAATATGTAAGATTTTTGTTATATTTTTTGCTAGAAAACAAATTTACACATATTAGCACAGGACACGTAGACGAGAAGAGAGATACAAAAATTATGATAATCGTAAATATAGTTCTAAACTTCACAACTTTTGATTGAAGAGTGCTCCTCACTAAATCTAAGTGTCGGGTGAATTTTCGCCTTGTAGGAACACAGAATTCACTAACTTTTGTTATTAAGCGATGTGAACTTTAATTTATACACCAGGGGATGTTTCATCAAAGTCCCAAGATTCGAATGTGAAAGGTTTGATGAAATACCCCCTTGGTATTCTCTAAAATGGAACAATCCACGACCTTCAGATCTTTTTATTTACAAAAAGAACAATCATGAGGAAAGTGTTTGCATTCACCAGTGCCTTAACCTGTAAATTGTTGTGGTTTGTGTGTTGTTGGGGAAGTTAGGCCAAAGCAAAATAGAGTGAAAGTCGAGTGGGAGTGAGAGGGGGAAGAAAGAATGGAGGAATGGAGAGATCCTGGAGAGGGGGAGGAAAAGAGATGGAATAGAGAGAGGAAGAAGAAGAAGTAGAAAGTTGGTGTATGGAAAGCCAGAAAGGATGACGGAGAGGGGGCAAAAGAGAGGGTGAGAGAGGGAGAGGTAAGAGGATGAGAGGTGGTGTGTTTGCGTGTGTGTGAGTGTGTGTGAGAGAGAGATGAAGAGAGAGAGAGAGAGAGTACGAGGGCAAAATCCAAAGCCCCAAAAATGAAAGAAATGTTTTTTCCCCAAGCCTCTTCTATTTCAGCTGTATCCTGGAGGGGTATAGGTCTACCTTCGCTCCAATTTAGGAATATTTCAGTCATAATTATGCATCTAGAGAGCGAAACAGGGCAAATGAACTATAAATGCTTTTGATGTCTTCACAATCAATACCAGATCGAGGCAACCGCTTTCATTTTACGTCAGGCTCCTTTTTGAAGTAAATAAAAAGGGAAAACGAAACTCCTTCTTCACACTTTTGAACACAAAATACGCATATATTTTCTACCGCTGTCGTGAAAATTATGCAGTGCTAAGTGCTGGTTTCCCTGTAGCAAGTACATGTTTTTTAGGACATCGATATTTTCACTTCCGCAGTTTGTTTTGATCTCTATCGAATTCCGTTTCGCGATCGATTTATTTATACGAACTTCTCTTTAAGAGTTGTCACCTTCAGAAACTTTTTTCCTTGTAAAAAGACCGGTTTCTGTCTCTCTTAGTTTTTGATGTCTTCTTTCTCTCTTGTTTTCAGTTATTATCATTTCGACCCTCTTTCGATATCCTAAAATTACTTTCGTTTGCTATAAACTTTGACATGACAAATCTTCCGTTTCCTACCTTTCACTCGATGGTGTGTTTGTTATCTCGGACCCTCCCTCTAAATATTCCTCAACATCTCTTGCTCTCTTTGTCTCTTTTTCTTTATTTCCTTCTTGCAGTCTCCCCCTTCCCGAATACATTCCCCTTTTCTCGCATTTTTCCTTGTTCTCCTCTACTACACCTCTTCATTTCTATCTCTCTCTCTCTCTCTTACTTTCTTTCTTGTGGACATCCCCATACACCTTCACATTGTTTTATGATACTCACACTATTTCTCTTGTCATCCCTCTTTGTCTCTGACTCTTTTCGTTTCCTCTCTTGATCTCTCTTCTCATCCCTTCCTATCTCTTTTTCTCTAACTCCCTCTCTCGACCCCTCAACCTCTTCTAACTTTCTTTTATGACTTCTCTTTTCCCCCCTTCCATTTCTCTTTCATTATAGAAACACACACACACACACACAAATTACACACACACAAAGACCCCACCCTCACACCCAAACGCACCCTCGCATACACACATTCGTCGTGTACGATATTGAATCCTCCTCTGGTAATATGATTACAAATATTGCCCGGTACGTTTCAACCTTCTGGACCACCAAAAAAAGTACGCGTCACAGAAAGAAGAAAAAAATTGTGTTCGATTGCCGGCTGATGGAAATTGAATTGCTCTTGGGTAATTCAAGAAATAACTCGGCCCGTTATATAACACCGCTGCGGAATGCATTGAAAAAGACATGTCCTGTAATGTGATTTAATTTGGTTGATTGATGGAACGTTAAACGTGTCGCTTCCGACGTAATTCAATGAGACCTTTAAGGTGGTTCCAGGGATGGAGACAGGTCAAATAGGGTCATGCCAGAAATGACCTTAGTGTACTTTTTGTGGGTGTGGGTTTAAAAATATGTAGCCTGATATAGCAGGAATAGAGATCCGACATGAAGCTCACTTATGAATGATAATCAAGTATAGCATTCATTATTGTGTGAGATGTTTTACCCCGGGTATATTTATTAAAATGCAGTCTGTTGGTTATATTATTGAAGAAATGCTTTTTTGGAGGCCAGATTTTAACATTTTTCGAGGCGGAATTATGTTGGTTCATGTAACAGGATATCTAATTCCCATATTTCAAATGTTTAACCGATATGGAATTATGGTTTACTACGTGAGGTAGGAGTTTTTCTTTTGTCCAAGCTCTCATACTTTTGATATATATTACATGTATTCTGGGAGATGCTCTCACCATTTACTGGCATTGGTCTCTCAAGGGACGTACAAATCATGGTCACAAATCTACAAAATTTACATTCTTTGATAGTTCATTATTATAAGGAAAAAATGTTAACTAAAGTTTTTGTGAAACACTCCCCATGTCTACCTTTTCAGGAATGTAATTTTTCACAAACTTATATTTTACGTTTATCTCGAAATGCAATACAATAAAATAAAAAGTTTCAAATTATTTCTATGTTATCTTAAATATTTAGATATGACGAATCATAAAAGTGCTTGCTATTATATAATAACTGGCTGATTATTGTTTATCATTTAAAGGATTCAATTTGCTACTTCGATTTTCGTTTTCTTTTCTTTTCACAAGAGAGAGTCCACTTGCCCTATCAATGTTATAAACAATTAAGTAGCTTTGATCACACATTTGCCCCCATCCTGAATTTATTACGTAATCTGTGTACCTACCACGCCCTTTTGTCTGGTATTTGTTTGCAGAAAGTAACCGCCCACTACTGGGAGGAAGAGCTCGAACCTTATTCGTATACGTGTAACAACGCCTGGCCTAGCGAGGCCATGTCCATCATATACTCGGTATACCTGTTCCTTCTTCTGTTCTTCGTTCCTCTGTTGATTGTCTCCTACGCCTACATGAGGATAGCGTGCCATCTAAACAGTACAAGGGAGCGTTCATCAGGGGAGTCTAATGGTTCACCGTTTAACAGACCGGGTAAGGACAGTCGTATCCCAATTACACCGATATACCAACGGTAAAAGATACACCAAACTGACAGATTCTCGACCATTCGGAGTACCACAATTTTTGTCCGGTCGGTTGTCGGTCTGGTGCTGGTTTCGTCGGTGTGACTAGCTAAGATATTAGAAAAGGATATTTACCCCATAGTATGATCAATCGACGGCCCACGGCCTCGTGAATATTCGATTTCCTAGTCCTCCAATCTCACTAATACTTCGGACAGGTGTCAGGAGGTGCATGAGACCGAAGCCTTTGGTTATTTGAACAAGTATGGATAGTTTTTCAAAGGTTCATCAGACACAATTCCTAGGTATTAACATGAACCTTCTCATACTTCCTCGTTCATGTAAACTTTGGCCATTTCTGAATTTGTCATGTATAAAGTGCCATTTAAGATGATTTCGCTAGTGAAAATATCACAAACAACATAAGATTATGGTTGTTTCTCCCGTACAAACAAAGGCAGAAATCCTATCATTACGAACGACTATTTTAACATTGAACCCCATCACTGTCTAATGGATGTCAACATTATCTCACAAGTCGTAATCCTCTGTAAATTCATTACATCTCATGCAGTCCTGTCGAGATACCGGGTATGGTACCGGAATACATCAGGGTGGTCCAGTGGTTCGTCGTTCGTCCGCAGAGCCGAAGCCGCTAGTCAGGCCAACGGGGTTACCATTGATGATGATACAACCGAAGCGGACGCCTTGCGTTCGGAGCCAAGCAGGGTGGAAAACCTGAATGATTCGCCAGCTCCCAGAAGGCATCGTGGGACCAGTGAGGGTGACAAGATACAGGTAAGCCAAAGGTGAAATATGTGAAAGGAATGAAGGATGCTGCGTCTTTAAGGGGTACCAAGGGACCAGCTTAGGCGGTAAGATACAAGTTTTTCGCACGCCTTGTTCTATTGGAAAATATTTCCTCAACTTCTTAAAAGGACCAGCGAAGGTGAAAAGATATATACGGGTTTGTGGTTCCATTGTCGGCCTAGGACTACAGTGTTTAGTGCACAGTGGAATAGGGGTACATCAGGGGAAATGTATGGTTCGAAAGGAGCCAGTGAAGGTGACGGATAGTATACAGCTGAGTGGATATTAGGCTTTCGTGGTAAACAACGTGACCTAACAATGCAACCACGACAGCATAATACAAGTAAGTAGTTAAGGGTATATGTGTTTAGGCCTATATGTATATACTAGGCACTATCGTAGCAACATTTGTGAAGGTTCTTATAGGACGAGAAAGCTCTAACTTCAGATACAGTTATACAGATGCACTTTAAAGAAAGTGCACATTACGAGGGATCGTTAACTGAAGAGGAAAGATTGCTATCACCCAAGGTCCTATTTAAAGATGACGTGCGAGCAGTGGCATTGCTTGAGTCCATTTTAGGGGGGCACTACATTATATGAGAAAATGGTAAAGAATGGCTTGAATATAAACTTTCCACTTTACAAAAATCAATTGAGAGAGAAAGAGAGAGAAAGATGAAAATGCGTTGGATAGGATTGGCCCAAACCCTATTTTTTAGAGTTACAATATCAATTTTGTTGAATAATACTTGATAAAATATACATGTTATATGAAAGAAATAAATTGATACGTTATTGCTACGATGTGTCCTTCACCAAAATCTGCCTTCAATCCAAGTATTGTTGTTTATCTCTTATGTCCTGTTGCCATGAAACACATAGTCTATGAATATTTTTGAAAATATTCATAGGCTATGCACTTTTGTATTAAAGTACTCATTAATGATGATTAAGTGGTGATGGCTGTCATGGTCTAATGTTTTTCCCTTCTCAATTGAAGATAGGTATAATCTTAACGAATTGGATTTTTGTGATAAAAACATTGTTTTTGCAGAGGGTCATAACAATGTTGGCCATAGTGGTGGCGCTCTTCATCCTGAGTTGGGGTCCGCTCCTGACGTACACCTTGATCTATCGTTTCATCGACGACATGCCCTACAACACCCACGCCGTTCTGAGTCTCTTCCTCCATCTTCTAGCCGCCTGCAACAGCTGTGTCAACCCCATCATCTATGCGTTCCTCTCCAAGAACTTTCGGCAGAGTTTCAAACAGGTAATTAGGGAATGCTGCTGCTGTTGCGAAAGCTTGCACCAAAGACGGCTGGCCTACCAGCCCTCTTTCCGATGGACCAGTTCAACGCGCGCCTCGTATTCCTATGCGGCACCGGAGAGCTGCATGCGGAACAGTCCGCAGAGGTCGACAGTCTCCCAGAAGACGGACGTTTGAAACCGGTGAAGAGACCTATCAAATTTATGGAGAAGATATGCCAACCTATGGCTAGCACTGGGTTGCAATGACGTTGTGCCGTCTCTCCGATTACGATCCGAGTCGTATGGTCACTCAAAATTATGACCAAAGGATGAAACAGTATATTGAAGAACCTCCATCATCCAGATCACTGTGGATAGCTTTTGTTCATACGGTCATTCAATTATTCCTTCACACCTTATTTTTTGAGACATTGTCTTTCAAAAAACAAAATTCAAAATCGAGGAAAAAATGTCTAGCCTGATCTTCAAGAATTTCTTTGCATGAATGAAATCAATTTATCTCAGTTCATCACATTTTTTTTTACCGTAAAACAAGCAAGATCGGTATCTTTTCTTGTTTTTACTTATTGCAACAACCACTGCCATGGTTTGAAAACTTGAAAATACTTCATAGAAACGAAAATTGATGTCTAAAGATCAAATACCGATTTTTTGTTTAATTCCAATTATTTTATAATGATACAAAGTACGTGTTGAAAGACAAGTACGTTACATTTTGGGAGATTGTCTCCCAAACGAACATCTCTAATACGATGTGATTTGAAGTAAATGACCGTTAGGAATAAGACTGTACGTCAAGTATCCACATAAGCCAAGTAACGATCAATAATGCTGGGTAACAATGATAACCTGACAACAGTCAGGTTTATAGAAGATCAGTGTATATCCTCCATTAAAACAAGATAAATTTCCCAAAATTGATTGAACCTGAATCTTAAGTCACGCTTCGCAGTTTGCCACATTTCCACATTTGGTTGAAAATATTATTTTCTTGTTATTATGCCCATGTGATGTTCATCATATCCGGGTATTCCGCAGTATAATCCGTTATAAAAAAAAACGGTTCACACGATTCGGCTTAAGGTCTCTTTAACATGTTTTTGGGGGGTATAAAGAAATGTAAGTGAAATCAGACTGGACACTCGGTTACACCGTCGGAGCACACAGCAAGCAGCGTTGCTCAAATTAAGGCATGTTCACCGATGCTATATACTTGTCTCGTGATAAGAGGACATCCATTGTCCTCTAAAACCGGCTATTTAATTCCTTGACTGGGCAAACTATACGGTGTATAAAGGATTTCATTTTTAAACATTCGATAGGAGGAATGACTAATTCGAGAGTATATTCAGTGATCGGACTGGGTTTGGATGCTGGATAATGGCTTCGGGAATACTCGGAGCTCTGTATATATATCAAATCGTTCAGTCGGGATTGTATTATCAAGATACGTAATCCCGCAAGAACTAAGTGCCATGCAAAAGTACTTGCTTTCTGTTTCAAGTAGTATATATAATGTTTATGTTCTTGTTTTGGTGGTACGGTAAAGTAATGTATGGTTATATCCCAGGTGTCGTTTATATGGTGGTGTACCATCGGGGTTGCAACTGTTATAATATATATTTCATACTGTTATATTCAATATTTCAAATACTTAAAAATTGGTCTGCCTTCTTAAAAAATTCTTTTCATCATCCATCATTTTCTAACCCCCCCCCCCATCTTTCTCTCTCTCTCTCTCTCTCTCTCTCTCTCTTTCTCTACCTATCTTTCCCTGTCTTTATCTCTCCTTTTCCCTCCTTCTCCCTCCCTCTCCCGCTCTTATCTCCCCTTCCTCTGTCTTACTCTCTCCCTTTCTCTCTTCAAGTGTCTAAGGGTCCATGTGTTTTGGGGAATATAATGTGTCTAATGTCGATTCCATTCGTATTTTTTGGTTCGTTGGGGCGTAGTAACTATGATTTGTTATTCTTCCAATGTAAGACTGGATTGTATATGCGGTTCCTCTATCACCTCACCCTCTCTGTAATATATCCATCTTTCTATGATCTTTCTTTCTCTTTTACTCTCATTTTCCCTTATTTTTTTCTTCAAATTATTGGGATTTTATAGTGCAGTTTACAGATGAAAACTCCTTAATCCTTCTAAGTGTAACAAATGTTTTGTTAATATTCTTAACGATAAAAATAATTTAAAAATAATAGATCTAGATAATAGTATACATTTTCAGATTTTATTGAATAATAATTTGCCAATATGTGTTTTGCGTGACTGCTAAAGCATGTGTGCCCATGCCTTGAGCCATAATGCATGGCCGTCCAGATGATTTTTTTATGTTGGGGGCCGGGGTAAAATGCAATAAATTATTGAAAATTTATTGCATTTTCTTTGTTTTTTAATTTTATTAATGGAAACTGCCCCCTACCCTAGCCCCGCTGCTTACAGTTATGGTTCAGTGACAAAGCAATGGCCTCGTAACTGTGAGGCCCCAGGATCAAAACCGTATCGATGTGCTATATTAGTGCCCTTTTGTGGGGCATTAGTCCTCATTACTGTCATTTATGACTTAAGGGCGTAGGTCCCCCAGTTGATAAGCATAGTATCAAACACATGCTTTAGCAGTCACGCAAAACACACATTGGCCAATTATTATGCAATAAAATCTGAGAATGTATACTATTATCTAGATTTATTATTTTTAAATTATTTTTAAAATAATTCCATAAATTGGGGTTAAACAAAAATTTTCCAACTATATGAGTGACAGTGTATTTGATAACATTATGAAAATGGTCTATTGCAGAACAACGAATTTTCCCGTTGCATCAGGAATACGCGTGTCACAGTGCGTGTACACTCTTTGTTCAGCTTGGCTTGTTAATGGTGGACATTCCCTCAATAACACTCTCTCCCTGACTAGATTAACCTGGCTTGATCTTTCTTTTAATTTCGGTTTTCTCTTCTGGGGGATAGAGAATCAATCGTACTTTAATAACATAATAACATATACTCATACTACGTCGAAAAATGGTGAAGTTGGTGAGTTGTTCCTTGGTGTACAAAGGTATTTTAGTAGTTTCATGTGGTAGATGGTTATGACAACCGGGTTTTGCTTTAGATCCAAAACGTACCTGTGAATTAAATGAAAGATTGAACCAAAAAAATTATAGTTGGTCGGGCTGCGGGGAAATTGGAGGACTCTACGTATAGTTAGTAATATGTGTCTTTTTAAGTTACTAGACCATTTAACATAACGTTACATGTTGTAACGTGCATACTTGTAATTCATAGAGGATTTGTTTAATGTTGTGGAATTCTGATGTAAAAAATTGACATACATGTACGTGTGGAATACAATCGATGCAATATTCAAGCTTTAGTCCCTTGTTATTTGTATCTTTGCCTTCAATACCAAAACGTTACTGTAAAAGAGTTGAATGCACAGGAATATTTTAATATCGGGGAATATCAATCGCTAAAATAAACACATATCTTATTTGCTTGGAATACACTTTGCGCCCAATCCCAAATTTAAAAAAAATCATCAATGTTTATTTTGTAATGTTTATCTCTGTTACCATAGCTCCACCATCATACGCAAAATGTATATTCATAAAATTCATGAAAATCTACCACTTCATTGTATGCTGATACTTATGTCTATAGAAGTTACAAGAACTGGCTTTACGGACTTAACTCAGTCAGGAGAAATTATCCCCCTAATCCATTCCAAATAACTTACGATCAAAAAAGAATGAAATGATGAACAATTATATTTGAATGCGCATTCCACACAATCTCCTTACCTACTTTTAGGGGGGGGGGGGTCTCTAACTTGCATTTTGACTCCGATTTCATTTCAATTTCAATTTCCAATCATGGCTTTATCTATCAATTTATTTTTATTTTCCATTCTGTGCTTATTCCTTAGACTGGTGTCAATGCATTGAATCTCTTGACAAGGATTTGAGTGTATGTATATCAACAGGTACTTGATAATGCGAATGATGGAACAGGGCTTTTAAAAGTACATATAAATGTCTTTTTCGTTATTCTATTTTATTTATTATTTTTTTATTTATTTATTTTATATTAAGTGTCATAAGACTTGGTGTTTTTACGGGAAATCATTTGTGTATTGATATGGAAATATAATCAGATCGTTTGTTTTATTTTCTTGAAATGTTTTCAGTCATTCACAAGACAAGACAGATTTATAACATCTCTAACTTACATTGGTGAAGGCTTTTTTTTTACTAAAAGGATATATTTAATGAATCTGACAATTTGTAAAAAATCATTAGTGAAAAACTAGGGGCTTCTCCTGAAAATATGATTGTCCTCAAATTCGAAGGAATGAGAGATTAATCTATGTGTGTGAGTGTGGATGTGGGTGTGTCATGTCTGTCTGTCTCTCTGTCTCTCTCTCTCTTTCAGTCTTCCTCTCTCCATCCTTCTCTCTCTTTTTTCCTCTCTATTTTTGTCTCTCCTTTCTATCTCTCTCTGCTTAACTTTTTCCTTCCACTTTAAATGGGCAAATGTACTTGGTTTGTTCACTAACATGCGTTCTTCAAAAGTGGATTTTAACATTTGATTGTATCATTCAGTGTTTTCATGTTGACATACCTCATTGTTCCATTTCATGACGTGTATTTAATCAAATATGAATGTTGCGCTAAAGTTTCATACATGCAGACTCTGCCTGGAAAGAATACAGTGCTTCACAAAGTGTGAATGAATATCTCTCTCTCTCTCTCTCTCTTAATTGTGTGAACCAAATTTTTACTCTGGTAACAGAAAAATGTCTCACTATGCTCATAGAAAAATATCGGTGCTTCCACATAAAGGAAAAATAACACTCTCAACGTGTGTATTAAAGACTACTGCGTGTGCAGAATGTTTACACTGTATAGCACAGTGTACAAAGTGTTCACACTGTATGAAACAGTGTAAAGAGTGTTCACACTGTATGACACAGTGTGTATAGGGTGTAGAACAGTGCAAAACAGAAAATCACATTATATGGCATTATGTTACTGTTAGCATATAGGGGGTTTGGAACTCTTTCATACTGCGGGCACTGTGAGCAAATTGTGCCCCAACTGTGGTAACACTGGCAGTACGACATGACACAGTGTGGCGCATTTAGTTCACAGATGCAGGCATAATCACATTGTGTTAATGTAAAACTAGGACCACAGAATATTATAAAACAGTTTAGTAGTGTTGAAAATGTAGACATTCTGCATGTTCGGGCAGTTCTCACACTTCTTAGCACTGTATTCTTTCCAGTAGAAGTAACTAACTAGATGACGTACCGTAATATCATCATTGTAATCACCATGGTTCTGCGCCATTTTGTATCATTCCCATAATGCAACAGACGATCACATGTCACACACGCAAACGCCGGCGTTCCAAACGTAGGAGACTGGGCATGCGCATTAGAGGGGTTAACGAAAGAGCATTTGAACTAAATGAAAATAAAGGTACGTTTTAGATAAGCATGCAACTCAAACAAGAGATTCTGTTGAATAACCGACATAACACACTCCGTGCTTTCGACCTTCTTTAATCATCTTTAGGGGAGTTATCATAAGGGAAAGGTGTAACTTACCTTTTTCCAGCCAATCGGGCGAGTCCAAAAGTGATGAGGGGAAGTGCGAGAGTTTGACTTATTAACATGTCTTTTGATATGAAATAAGTAGAGATGATTATAGCTTGAATTGGATTGAGATCATATTTAGACCCATTCAACTGACGCTCAGACACAATTTCTGAGCAAAGATCTAGTTGAAAAAATATCAAATAATTGCCCACAAGCGAATTCAAGCTGATCGGTCTCTCTGGTTTTTGCTCCCGTCCAATTGTATTATACATGTCATTTCTGTTCAACAGAGTTTCTTAAAAGTGGTTTAGTTTAGAATGAATGGAAAATTGACATCAGAACCAAAAGGCACTGTCCTCTGTAATCCAAATTTTCGTGACACTTCCTTTCTTTGTTTATGGTATATCGCTATGTTTGTGATTAGAGTGTGTTTTGCGAGACTGTCCAAAATCAACATTTTAAAACTCTAAATGTGAAAGGAGATTGCCTATGTTCTGATGACAATTCAAATAGTAATTACAACCAGGCCTATTGCACCGAGAGTAACGATCATTTGCACCAATGGCAGCCGATATTGAGGGAACAACCGACCCATGCCCCCTTTCCCCTGTCAAAACGTATATGACCAATACCAAAGATGCCCCTTTTCAAATCTACACAAGATTTCATCTTGTGATTTCGATTATTTGTTAATTCTGTTGAGTAAATTATATCACCAAAGTGGCATTAACTTATTCATTTTTGTCAAACCTGATCCCGCCCCTGATTTTCTAATTATTAGCTTAATCAAGTGTTCATTTACGACGCCAATGACGCAACTCTCTGTGTAACGGGGGACCTGTTGCATGATTTGGGGCATTTTGGCACGTTACAATAGTGGTGGTGGTTATTTTACCTGACTACTAAGAAAGCATAAACGCTTGCTAGTAAGCAACCAGAGGACCGACGGCTTTAGGTCCTCTCCTAGGGACAATAGCGGAGTCTGCATGGCTTTAGCGGTTTCACACCTAACTTTTCGAAAGACAGTATGCAACATCACTAGATTCGATGATATGCATTAATAAACATAATCTACTACAAAGTATGGTTTTCACATATTTTCACTACATCACTCCATAATATTTATATTCTATCAAGCCTGGACCAATATCGACTTTACACTTTGTTGTCAAACGTAGTGCTTATTTGCTATTGTTCGAGCAATCGTGATAGGGGTCGCCACTGCATCACGTGTCGTAGCAATTAAACAAAACTATTTTTTATCGCACTAGATTCTTTGTCGGCAAGACTATTGCCAGATTGCTCCAGCAATATCACATTATATAACTATAATCTATCGGTATTATTCCCAAAAGAGTGACCTGCTTTCTGACACGCGCCTGTGATGCAATTTAATTGTGACAACAGCGACGAAATTTTATTTTCGGTGATAGTGAAAAGTCGATATTGTTCGTGTTTGAGATGAATTCAGTGGAGTATCAAACTGGAGACTGAAGTTTCATTTACACTCAAAGTTACACAATTTTCTATCCATTACGGATTCATGGTACTGCAGCTATAAATAATCCATTAGCTTAGTCCTTGAAGTTTATACGTATCATTGGGTTTAAAAAATCCTACCACTAGACACAAAAAAGTGAAACTCATGCCGCATGAGTAAATTGGTGGAAAAAAGTAACTATGGAAATTAGCTTGACGATAAGTTTGCACGCGGTATGCAAGGACACCAAAACTAACATCATGGTGTTTTGTAGAGGAAGAGGCATGATGCATGCATTTCATGGTATGGTGGTTTGTAAATGGCGAAGTTTGCCCGAGGTGTTGACTGCCCATGCAGTATTTCGATGTTTTACTGCACGATTCATTCTTTGCAGTGTTCACTAACATGTTGGTAACTTATTCTGCCATGGTGAGTATCACACTCTATGTCCGTGGCATATGATGCGTCATTTCCCTGACGTAGGATGGCGTTCAAAGGCGCAGCAGGGGGTATGGGGACCTTGGCCCCCTGTTCATTCACTTTAAAAAAAGGGAAAAAGGGCTCATCCACGGAGCTTAGGGATCCCTACCCATACTCAGATGTTTCGAGGTGACTTTGTGTGTCAACCTGGTGTCAACCCCCCCCCCCCCCTCTTTCCCCCGTCTGCCCCTCCCCCCCCCCCCACCCCCCCCCCTTTAACAAGTCTGGCTTTGCCAATGGCAGGGTTAGTGACGTGTGCATTCGTTGGCTCTTCATAATGAGAGTGGCATCGTTCAAAAAAGTGATCCCCCCCCCCCATGCAAATAATGGGTTGAATGACGGGCTGCACTAACATAAGTGCACATTAGGGTCATTTCGATTACTTCAATACCTGCTCCAATTGATGATATAAAGGCAATAGTCCATGTGTCAGTGATTTGTCAAAAGGGATAGCACGGTTCATTTAGCTCTTACTTTTTTAAGAATATTATGTGACTCTCAACTGGATTATCACAACCCGCCAAAACCGCTGACGCAGTGCTATGTCAGGCAATGACGCATCGTAAGCACCGCGGATAACACATTGACATTGTCTATTAATGCTCGATGTTACTTCTAACATTTGCTTTAGTTAACAAAAAGACATTGCTCTGCAATACCAGAATTGCCAGTTAAAACTGTTTTTTGAAGCCGGGTTTTTTTTAAATAATAGTTAGGTTATAGATAAGTTGATTATGTTTAAAATCAGATCGTATCAAATGAGTCAGGAAAAGTCCCTGCATCAATATCTGTATTGAACTTTTATTTCTTAAAGACAAGCCCACCAAGTAAATGGGTAGGCATGTTTGAATAATCGTGGGATTGCCTTTTTTCTGATTTAAAGAATTAAAGATAAACTCCAGTACTGGTAAAAAAAAAATTAATTCTCACAGAATCAAACGAAACTTACACTGAATGTTCAAGATTACAAATAAATGACATGTGCCAAACAATTTTGAAAGAAAATGTATACTGGCTGAGTAATGAGCATAGAAAGACAAGGAAATTAAGGTAGTACTAGCCCCGACACCATGTGTGTTGTCCCATATATAGCTTTCTATGTGAGTGCTTGTTACTTTACCAAGACTCGGTCAAATTTATTATGATTTTGATGACTCCAGAACCTTGCAGTGCACACCAATACTTACATGCTACATGATCAACTGTTTCTGATCCTTTCCACACCTTTTCTTTCACAATGCAATCGCATTACCAGTACTAAAGTTTATCTTTAAAATCATCATTGCAAACAAATATTAACAAAACTAATCGCTAAATTCGGCTCTGGCATTTTGAAGTTTCTGACAATATATCTCTGTATCACCAACTTTCTCTCTTGAAATAATTATTAATAACGACATGTTTGAACCTATAATAATCCTTGCGAGCTTCCACGGGTATCAAATTTTCTCTCTTCAAATTACAGTCAAACTTGTCTATAGCGACCACCCAAGGAAAACACAGAACATGGTCTTTGTAGACAGGTTCCTTTGGTATATGTTTCAATGAGAAACCACTTTCAAGGGAAGCAACAAATGTGATCTTTGTAGACAGGTGGTCACCGTTAAAGAAGGTTTGACTGTACTAGGGCTTCTGGAAATTGACATATTGCCATGATCGTCATCATTATCATATTCCATTAACATTCTTTTTAATTATCAGCATTTTCCCGCGTCTTCCTTGATGAGAATTACAGGACTCGAGAAGCTATATCGGGGGATGTATCCATGTCAAGGCCTCGCACGACAAGTTTACAGCTTCAAGTGTTCGACTGACATCTGTTCCCTGATTCGAAAAGGAATGCTGACTGTAAACGGGATTTAGAGTTGGGTTGGGGTTTTTCCATCTTGAGAATTTAGAACAAAATTTGTTCTCTTTATTAAAAGGAAAATACAACCTTGAAAGACCTTTATTCTACAGGAAAGCAGAAACTGATCAAAAAGAAACCTGGTGAAAGTTCGAAAGAAATCGGGCAGGAAATGAGAAAGTTATGGATTTTTTAAAAGTTCTAATCACATACGTATGCAAGTTTTTTTTAATATTTGTTTTTACATTGATGTGAGTTTTTTTTTCTTTCTCTATGTCAGGGTATTTGAATAAGCATTCCAAGTTTATGTTGTACATTTTGTTTGGGGGAGAGGTTAAGAATTGATCCTCATTTTTTAAACGATGTGTACAAAATCATATACAGAAAATCAATGGAAAATCAAAAATGGTTGCGTTGAAAAGAGCCGAAAGGTAGATGCTTCAAATTTTGTGAGGAATTCTAGCGGTTGAACAAAAGAATTTTCCAACGATAAATCTTTTCATAAAACAGTAAATGTAAATAATACAATAACAGAAATAGTAATTGTGTTTGAGAAAGATGATGACATCATCTAGGATGTTTTCATACTATTGATATATACTGTACTGGTTCTGCTGCTGCTGTTACTACAACCGTTATTACTACTACTAATGATAATAATACTACTACTGCTACAACTACTAATAGTACTACTACTACTTCTACTACTACTATTAACCCATTGCTTACTGGAACCTGGTGGTCCCTGTGTTAAGCCAATGGGGATTAGATAATTCAGTAGCCAACGGGTTAATAATTCTATTATTACTACCACTACTATTACTACTTCTACTATTACTACCACCACTAATACTACTACTACTACTGCTACTACTACTACTACTACTACTACACTTCTACTACTACAACTACTATTATTACTACTACTACTACCATACTACTACTAATACCACTACTACTACTACTACTACTACTACTACTACTACCACAACCACTTTACTACTACTACTACTACTACTACCACTATTTCTACTCGTACTAGTCCTAGTACTTACTATTACTGCTATTACTACTACTATACTACTATTACAACTAATAATAATAATGATACTTCTACTTCTACTAAGAAGAGAAGAAGAAGAAGAAGAGAAGAAGAAGAGCAATAATGGTATTATTATTACTAGTAGTACTACTAGCACACTAATATACGTATGTACTACTTCCAGTACTATGCTACTACTACGATTACTCCTCCTCCTCCTCCTCCTCCTGCTCCTCCTGCTCCTGCTCCTGCTCCTCCTGCTCCTGCTCCTTCTCTTCTTCCTCCTCCTCCTCCACCTCCTCCTCCTACTCCTCCCCCTCACCCTACGTCTTCTTCTTCTACTACTACTACTACTACTACTACTACTACTACTACTACTGCTGCTGCTACTTCTACTACTTCTAATACTACTACTACTACTCCTCCTCCTCCTACTACTACTACTACTACTACTACTACTACTACTACTACTACTATTACTACTACTACTACTACTACTACTACTACTACTACTACTATTACTACTACTACTACTACTACTTTTACTACTACTACTGCTACTACTACTATTATTATTATTATTACTACTACTACTACTACTACTACTACTACTACTACTACTTTTACTACTACTACCTCTACTATACTACTACTGCTGCTACTACTTCTACTAATAATTGTAATAATACTATTACTCATACTACTGTTACTACTACTAATGTTACTACTACAACTGCTGCTACTACTACTACTACTTCTACTACTACTACTATAATAATAATACTATTACTCCTACTACTGTTACTACTAATAATGTTACTACTACTACTACTTATACTATACTACTCCTGCTAATATAATAAATACTCGAAACCCCCGTTTGCAATCAATTTTGTATTTTCATGTTCAGTATAATGTTTAGTGAACTGGCCGCCCGGCAGACCATATATTGCTATGTTGTCTTTCGTAGAATGGAATAAATAATTTAAAAAAATTGTAAATAGAATATATTCCATGTGAATTTCATGATGTTCGAAGAAATGCGTTGCCTTTCAGCTTTGAACAAAAGGGGCGATATTTATTTTAACTGTTTTTATTTTCCTAAAACACGTCATTCCGGGAATCCTATACCGACCTTTTCAATGACAGGTAGAAGTCACAGAAAGGGGGGAAAACACAGATTTCTGGATTTTGATTCCCCCCCCCCCCCCCATTGCCCTTGCGTCTCAAGAGAAGGTCCATTTGTATGTGTTTTTAATCATCCTCCCTTTATCTCTGTCTTCTCCATTTATATAAGCTCTAGTTCCGCATAGTAAACGGTGGTAACCAGCATTACATTGCTTTCTGAGCATTATTTCAAGCTCGAATAGATTATAAATCATAATAACATATAACAAATGATATGGAAATTAAAATTATTGCAATAATGTCAATCTCATGTAAACTTTGTTTTTCGTCATGATTACAGGAGATACTCTTGCTGTTGTTAGGATGACGATGATGATGATGATGATAAAGATGACGGTGACGAGGATGATGATGATTATGATGATGATGATGATGATGATGATGATAAAGATGGTGGTGGTGGCGATTTTGATGAAGATGAAGGCGATGAAGATGATGATTATAATAGTAACACTAGAAATGCAATCGTGTAACAACGATGTGCGTCTTTAGTCTTTAGCTTCTGTAATATTGGAGACAGGTAGGGCGAAAGAAAGGCCTCAACAGTGACCTTGATGGGATGGTAGTGACTATGCCTACGATGTTTGAAAGAAATTGGGATAGGGGAAAGAACCTAGAAAGGGCTCGCAAGCACTGCGTGCAAAAACAATGGGATTAGTTGCATGCGGCGTCATTGCAATCAAGATCGTTCTAGGGGTCAAAAGCGTGAACCCGATTTGCCCCATAGACAATGCGTGTAATGCATGGGCGGAAAACATACAGGATCTGTATTATGACCGGAGTTAAATTGTTTTTTTCTCTCTCTTTATGTCTCTTTATGGGCCGTATATGGTATCATTGGAAAGAGAATTTCATGGTCGTTATTGTAAACTACTCTTTTTTTTCTATGATAATCCTATCGAAACATGTGATGTAAAATAGATTTAAAGGACAAAATGGCGTCTTAAATGGCCCCCTTGACCAATTTAAAAAATCCGGCCACGAGGTGCCCTGCGTATTGCATCTCGGAATGTCATTGCAAATTTTCAAGGAAAAAAAAAGATGTTTAGGGGCGAAAAGTAGTCTGAAAAAATGACGTCATGGCCGATAAGTGTTATAATCGGGCGGAATTCGTATAGTGGTCGACCCTTGTTCAAATGCGATTTACTCACAATTTTCTGTGTAAACATATACCATACTTGGTATCATTCGAAAGGGCACTTCATTGCGGTCAGTTTGACACCATTGTCATCTGCACGCAATGTACTACAAGCATTAAAGGCGCTATTACGTAATGCATAGCAAATTCATCATTTTTGGCGTTAACTTTGCAACGAGGGCATTACAATTTATTTAACTTGGCAGACAGTTGTCACGTATATGGATACATATGTGTGCCAAGTTTTATTGATGTAGGTATAAAGATCGCCATTTTAGAGCAAGTTGAAGTTATTTTGGAATTTTCTTGAAAATGGCGAATTTGGAGGGCATTTTTCTCAAGTCGGTCAGTGTTAGGGTATATAATGTTGTATATGGCTGGAAAGGGCATATCTTCAAGTATCTAAATCCAAAAAGGGTACGGGTCTGCCAAGCCATAATGGAAATACGGCCACAGAAAGACAGCCATTCCCAGAACTTTAGAGGGCGCTATTTATTTTTTGCAAAGCCAATGTAGCGTGAAATTTGGCATGGCGATGTGCAATTATGAGATAAAGATACTGTGAGATTTAAATATAAAACGGAATTCATATGAGAAAGTTATGGCAGTTTTAGATTATTTAGGGGTCAATTTTTCAAGAACTTGAGAGATTTTTGACGGAGTCGGTTTCAGATTTGCATTTTGAGTACGAAGATGGCATTTTGAAGGTCAGGTTATACGTCGCAGATAAAAGAACATCTCTTAGACTATCTAGAGGAATTTGTTAGAAGTTTGTAGGATCTAAGACAGTGGAGATGGGAAGGAAGAAAGAAAGGCCTTAAAATGGACCAGAAACGGACAAAATGGCGCCTGGACGGTTATGCATGAGTGATTTTGAAAATCGAAGAATGTAGTGACCTTGATGAGATGTTAGAGACTATGCCTATGAAATTTGAAAGGAAACGGACATGAGAAAAGGGCATAATTAGTGATGACAAGCACTACGTGTAAAACGAATGGGATTTCAGGACGAAAAGGAAATATTAATGGGGCAGAATGTGAACGAAAACAAGGCAATGACGAAGGTTCGTCATTGCAATAATAGTGATAATGGTGATGGTGTTGCTATAGAGCAGGGGTTCCCAAATTCTTTCATTGACATCCTCTTATTCTCTTTTACCTTCTTTTCTTTCTTATTTCTCTTTTCTTCCGTCGATCCCTCCCCCCCCCCCCCCCATCAAAAGGGGCCGCGGCCTATTCGGCCCTCACTTGGATCTGCCACTGTTTCTAAAGCTAAACAAATGATCAGAGAGTGGACATTTTAACTTTTCAGTATTTCTAACATTCCTTTTGAATTTTCTTGCCATTTCTTTAATTTCCTTTGAAATTCCCTGACAATTTCAAAATTCTGTATTTTCCTTAATATAAGGAAATTGGAGACTCTGTCCCGGGCGGTCGAGATTTGCGTGCCCTGCGGCAGGCGCGGATCCACGTGGCGATTTTTCCGGCGATTTTAAATAATAATAACATATAATAAATGATATGGAAATTAAAATTATTGCAATAATGTCAATCTTATGTGAACTTTGTTTTTCGTCATGATTACAGGAGATAGTCTTGCTGTTGTTAGGATGACGATGATGGTGATGATTATGATTTTGATGATGATGATGATGATGATGATGATGGTGGTGGCGATTTTGATGAAGATGAAGGCGATGAAGATGATGATTATAATAGTGACATAATAGTGATAATGGTGATGGTGTTGCTGTAGAGCAGGGGTTCCCAAATTCTTTCATTGACATCCTCTTGTTTTCTTTTACCTTCTTTTCTTTCTTATTTCTCTTTTCTTCCGTCGCTCCCTCCCCCCCCCCCCCCCCCCATCAAAAGAGGCCGCGGCCCATTCGGCCCTCACTTGGATCTGCCACTGTTTCTAAAGCTAAACAAATGATAAAAGAGTGGACATTTTCCCTTTTCAGTATTTCTTACATTCCTTTTGAATTTTCTTGCCATTTCTTTAATTTCCTTTGAAATTCCCTGACAATTTCAAAATTCTGTATTTTCCTTAACTTAAGGAAATTGGAGACTCTGTCCCGGGCGGTCGAGATTTGCGTGCCCTGTGGCAGGCGCGGATCCACGTGGCGATTTGTCCGGCCTGCCCCCCCCCCCCCCCCCCCCCACATAAAAAAAAAAATTAGTGGTTCTCCTTTTCATCACCCCCCCCCCCCCCCCTGCTTATTCACTGGCCGCGGCTGGATCCGCCCCTGCCCTGCGGTCCGAACATTGAGAAGCCCTGCTACAGAGGATATTGGTCAATATGTCATTGATGATAATATAGTTGGTGATGATGGTATCTACGCAGATGCTTGAAAAAGATGATTTTGATTATGCTTGATCATGTTGATGATATGTATAATAATAAGCCAGTTCACGGTTGCAGTCTGAGCATGAGCAGATAAAGGTCATTGCAGAACAAATTTTGAAATACACGGAGACGAAATACTGGATACGTGCTCATGAAAGTTATGTAACATTATTCATTCATGCACATTCAGTGCACTCCGTTGCACACAGGTGGAAGTATTCTTTGAAAAGGGGAACAAAGGCTATTTATAAAGCACCTCGATCGCTGTAGGAGTGATTTTTTCAAAATGTACAAAGTGGGACCTCTTCTTGTGTTAAAGATCTGTGGATATTCGGGGTCATTGCAGTAAGGTGCTAACCGTGAACTGGTCTATTATGCTGTTGATGAACAATGACAGATTGTGATTTCTCATTCTGCCTCTCTCACTCAAACCACCCCCCCCCCCTTTCCTTTCTCTCTCTCCGTCTGTATCTATCTCTTTCTCTTTTTTGGTCTCTCTCTCTCTCTCTCCTTCTTCTTCTCTCTCCTCCTCTGTCCTTCTCATCTTTAGTGTGGTATGTCACTGAAACAGCTCCCATAGGACTTTTGTGCCAAATTTTGTTTTCCCTTCTTTTTTCTTTGTCGTTGTTGTTGCATTTTTGCATTTTTGGATTCATTGGGGTCCAAGCTATCAGAAATTGATGGGGTTCAAATTTTCCCGAAGACACCAAATTTCCCTATTGCGCTTTAAATAAGCCATTTTGACGCCCAATATGGAACCCCCCCCCCCCCCCCCCCCCCCAGGAAGTGAAGGAGGGGTCTGAAAATTTGAACCCCATCGTTTTGGGCCAATTGGGACCCTTTTGAAGCCAAAACAGCAACACAACAAAATCAATTTTGGCAAAAAAAGTACATACCATACCGCACTACTTCACTTAATCTCTATCACATTCCTCCTTTTTTTTTATTCCATATGCTCGAAGAATAATAATAAAGCTTAATGAGATACATGTATAACATAAACCTGAATTGCAACGAGCTAAACAAATTAAGGACTGCAATGTATTCCACTACCACTTGCTGGGGTTATATATTTTCTTTAATAAATTGATACAACAATACTCAATTCAATTCTCATTTATTTCATTCTCGGTTAAAAATTACATTACATTTTTATATTTAAACTGCTTTCCGTCCCCAAAATTGGTTTTAAACTTAAAAGACTGATAGAAATATTATAGTAGAACACGACCACAATTTTTATGTGGAAATAAGTCAGTTTTATAAAAGTTTGAGGCGATTTAGTGCTAACGCCCTTCTGCTTAACGATTCATTTTTTACCTGAAATTCGAGCTAATGCCCTTCAGCCACCCAGGCGACGGAATTTAGAAAACAAAATGGGGAACTACATAAATAAAGCCCTTAGGCCTTGTATAAGCCCAGTTCCCAAAGCATTCACAGCATAATGTATAGTAAAGATAACAAAGAAAACTACAGTTCATTTATAAAAATGTAGACAAATGATTAAATACACAAACATTTCCAAATTCTTAGTAGATCTTCATCAAATGCATTTGTTGTGTATGATAGTGAAAACAGCAGTTATAATTGCATTGCTTTCCTGAAAACATGTGCACAGAAAGTGTTATAAAAATGCATTATTAATGGTGTATAATACAGGTTAAGAGAACACAAGTCTTGATCCTTTTTTTCTAAGAATCTCTCGACACAAATTTAAATAAATTATAATCTGATTATGTTACGAAATATACAAACATAAATGCCATGTTGCAAATAGGAAACTTTATGTTGTTCCATAAAAAAAAGGCAAACCTTTCTTCCACATTGTTGATTCTATTTCAAATTTAAATATATTATCACATTGATTTTTGTTTATTTATCTTCAATATCCCATTTATATTATACTTTCTATAAAAGATTAAAACATCATGAGCACGCTAAATTGAATTTAATACTGAATTCAGGGAATGGAAAATTTTAAAACAACCTGCTTCTCAGCCCATTTCCTACTGGAACCGGGTGTTTCTGTATTAAACCAATGAGGACTATGATAATTCAGTGGTCAACGGGTTAAAAAAACGATTACAATTGCACAAGGAAAGATTTCAAAAATTAATCTTTTTTTTACAAAGTTAGGATTCACAAGCCATAGCACAGAAGGGTGAAGTGTAAAAAGAAACAAGTAGTTTAAAAAACAGTGAGATAACATTTTTGGAAAATGAGAAGATAGCGTCCTGTATTTTAATACCCATACACTGTAACATGAAAATATTGATTTTCGTATTAGACCAAGATATATTTTGTACACTTTACGATGGAAAGCACTCTAAAAACTTGATTATCAATGACCCTCAGTTGATGTCATTAAAAACATGTTCTACCATTGAGTTCCAACATCCTATTGCCTTATATTTTCATGTGCATATCGTTGAGGATTTGGCAAAACACTTGATTTTAGCTGCCCTTAAGCATATTTCAAAGTCCCCAACCAATGAAACTGTTCTGTATCAACATAGTGATTGTTTAATCAGAAAAGGTAAGCTTCATCAATCACATGAACCTCACCGAGGATTGCACAGTGTAATTTAAAATCCATTTAAATTGAAACCCACTTCTGCTATCAATAATCACACACAATGTTCTTTTATCAGCTAAATTAATTAAAATTCAATAAAAAATAATAATAATAATATTTAATTTTTATATAGCGCTTTATACAAATGTCTCTAAGCGCTTTACAAATATACTATTACCCCGGTCATTGGATTCAGTGCTTGCCCGCACACACTGTGTGCACAATCTCCACTCCCTGGGGAGCATTCCAGCTGGGCGTTACTTGACGCTCACAAGCTGTTTGACCAACAATGATAAAAAGATCCAGAGGATGATCTGGAATGAATATTACTTCTGCAAATTCAGTGTGACTAATGGCAATATGTATGTGCGTACAAAAAGAGTTTAAAAAATATGATGCAGAAATCCATGGACTATTGAGCATTGATGATACTTCCAGAACTGGTATATTCTTCATTTTTCATCAGGGGCTTGTTTTCACCGCTTGAATCCGAGGGTGCTTGGTCACGGTAGAGTACATAATGTTGAATGATGAAGATAATGTCAAAAGCAATGGAGAAGACACCCAGGCCAAACTTGGTTGGGTCACCAAAGATGGATGCCCAGTCATCTGTTGAAGATTGACAAAAAAAGACTTTGATAATAACATTAATAAAATTGATGAATAAAGATGAAGATGACAACATTGATGATAGTACTAGTAGGAGTAGTAGAAGTTGTAGCAGCAGCAGCAGTAGTAGTAGTAGTTGTATTAGTAATAGTAGTAGTAGTAGTAGTAGAAGTAGTAGCAGTATAATTATTAGTAGAAGAAGTAGCAGTAGTAGTAGAAGAAGAAGTAGTGGTAACAGCAGTAGTAGTAGCAGTAGCAGCAGCAGTAGTAGTAGTAGTAGTAGTAGTAGTAGTAGTAGTAGTAGTAGTAGTAGTAGTAGTAGTAGTAGTAGTAGTATTAGTAGTAGTAGTAGAAGTAGTAGCAGTATAATTATTAGTAGAAGAAGTAGCAGTAGTAGTAGAAGAAGAAGTAGTGGTAGCAGCAGTAGTAGTAGCAGTAGCAGCAGCAGTAGTAGTAGTAGTAGTAGTAGTAGTAGTAGTAGTAGTAGTAGTAGTAGAAGTAGTAGCAGTATAATTATTAGTAGAAGAAGTAGCAGTAGTAGTAGAAGAAGAAGTAGTGGTAGCAGCAGTAGTAGTAGTAGTAGCAGTAGCAGCAGTAGTAGTAGTAGTAGTAGTAGTAGTAGTAGTAGTAGTAGTAGTATTAGTAGTAGTAGGAGAAGTAGTAGCAGTATAATTATTAGTATGCTCATATATATATATATATATATATATATATATATATATATATATATATTGTAAAACTACAATACACTGTATTCATGTACAATGTGAATGAAGTGTTCCCAATAAATACACATAAATAAACAATCAACCTGTACCATACAGCAGATTACAGCAACCCTCAATCGAAGAGAACAGGATTTACTAAAGGTAAGCATTATAGGGGGTACACAAAGGCACACCAGTAGTTGTCCAGAGGGTAATTGTCATAAGGGATACTTGTAGAAGGAGTAGTTAACCATCTGACATTAGTCTACATTTACCACTATCCACCCAGGTGTTAAATGGGTACCGGTAGAAAGGAATTCCTTGAATGCTGTGAGCATCGAAATCAGTAGCCTAGCCGAGTCGGGGTAAAATTGGAGCGCCTTTGGCACCTTGCAGGGTGGATATGTGCGCTATATAAACATCCAATATTACTTGGGATAGTGGGGTAGTTGGTAACTGTCCAAGGAAATTAGGTGCTCTGGAAGTACACATAGTTGTCTAGTGGGTGGTAGTCTAGGGATAGTTATCCTGATACAGGTTGGTGCTATCATCATCATCATCATCATCATCCTCCTTTATTAACGTCTGCATTTTCCCTTTTACCAGGGGTTACTACATGATGACCCTCCCTCCCTCTACTTCTTGTCTCGAGCATCCTCCTCATTTAGACCAACCTTACTTCTTTCTTTTTACCATATCGTTCCATAAAATCTTTAATCTTCGTTTCCCTCTTGGGGCATCCACTTCAAGATCTATATCTACTTTTCACAGATTCATCACCTTACCTTCTTAACAAATGACCCATCCATCTCAACCCACTTCTATTTACCACTTCCACCAGTTTCTTTCAGACCCAACCTTTCCATGAGCTCCCTTATGATCTTTCTACCAGACAATTTCACACCACCCATCTTCCATATTATGGCTCTTTCTGTTCTCCTCACTTTAAAGCGGGACTGCACTACTTATAGCTACTTGCACCCTCTCTATAGCAAACAATGCCTAATCGGTACCCGTTGGTCCCCCGTAATCCCCTTTTTATGTTAAGTAAGAGCCGACTTGATGAGATAACCACCTGTCAGTGAACATGCAGGGAGGTCTAATCCCTCCTGGCCAAACTAATGCAGATAGGCTTTAATCTCGTCATCTACCACCTTGATAACTTACTATTGTTGTAGGAGATGAGAAACATCTGCAGCAGACTGAACGATCCTCCAGTAGAGTCTAGTAAGACGTTGCCGATACTCCAACCCTCTGTGCTCTTTCTCCTGTAATTCATGTAGACCTATCAGGTGGTGGAATATAAAGTGGAGATGATTCAAAGATAAGATAGATAAGAACAAGTTGCAGTATTTTGGACACATTTCTAGGAGAGAAGGTGACAACCTAGAGAAGATCATTACCCAAGGTCATGATGAGGGTCAACGAAAACGAGGTAAGCCAAAAGTTTGATGGCCCAAAGGAATAAAAGAGATTACTGGCATGAACATTTGCACAGCTAATCACTATGCCCAGGATAGAAGTGGTTGGAACGTCATCATCAATAGGATCACAAAGGGTCAGTCATGATTCGTAGGACGACGATGGCGATTCATTTCATGATGGAATACATGCACATTTTAACATGTTATCTTGGGGTTGATTCCCATGCAAAAACATGGATGCATTGACTAACCTACTCACAAATACTTGAATTTGAAGTTTTTCTTGAAGAATTATCATTTGGATCTAATGTTAGATATAGGTGAATATAGTATACCAGTGTCGAAACATAAAAACACAGTCACTTTCTATTCATTAAGTTTATTTATTTACATTGTTTTTATTTATTTATTTAAAAAATCTTCTTTCTTTCTTTTTTTTTGTGGGGGGGGGGGGATCTCTTCACGACCTCTTGAACCATGCCCATTTGATATATAATTATCATAACTTTGACATTACCGGCAAACACATATACCAGGGATAGAATGCTGACCTGTGGAATATATTTGATGAGAGTCACTCCGAGCTTGATATAGGAGAAGTAATAGATGAATTCCAGCCACGTGATGACAGATCCGCTTGATGCAGCAGTGATGATCAGTGTGATGAGCGCAAAGAGCCACATGCCAGCTAGGATGACGCGGCTTATGATGGACACTCGCTGTCTACCTCTCTGTTTGCAAAATAATTAAGGCCTAAAGAAATCAGCTTTATTCTTCAAATTGGCAACAACAACATCTCATCTTTACTGCTTCATGATTCTTACAAAATAGTCCTATTCAAGCTAGAATACAGGAAATAATAAAGGACACTCTCTAATTATCTCTCTGCTTGAAAAAGCAAATACAGACAAATTTTACAGAAAGATAATTCAGCGTTATTCTTCAAATTGGCATGAATAAAATCTCATTATAAGAAAGAAAAAACATTATAGGCTGGTATGATGTGAATATTGATAAACACTTGTTGATTAACTTTCTACATGAAAACAAACAAAAATAAATAAACAAATTGGCAGGGATCGTTTACAGACTGCATGTCGATAAGTCAGTTTTTTCTTCAAATTGGCAACATTAACATCTAATTCGTGTGTTACTGTTTCATAATTCAAATAAAAATATACCAATAATATGACTTATGATAAAACACTTACTGGTTACATCTGTCTTGAAAAGGAAAATTGGAAATAATAACAATGCCAAAGAGTTGTAAAGGCTATATATATATATATATATATAGATAATTTAGCTTTATTCCTAAATTGACAACAATAATATCTTATTTTTACTGCTTTACATTTCAAACAAATATAGTTTTCAAGCTGGAATGATAGAACAAATGACTTACACATTGCTTTGAAAAAAACAATGTCAGGTTGTTTTGAAAGGCTTGACAATTCATGTTTATCCTTCTGATAACACACACAATGATATCCAAACACAATCCCATAAGTGTTATCTCTCAGCACAAGAGGGAAGCACAAAGCTCGTGTCTTAGCAGAAAATAAACCAAACACACAATGTGATGCTTCAAAATCCATTTTTGCTGAATTCATTAAATAGCAGGTCACAATGGAAGAGTGGCATTCAGAGAGAATAATAATAATAATAATAATAATAATCTTTTAGTCCACTCCAAATTTTATTAAACCGAGATGAAAATTCTTTTTGCCCAATTGATCGTGAGCCCGGCAGCCACTGAGCAGCGCCAGATCTACGTTGCTCTATCCCTTATTGGTGAACGCCAAACAAGGTAGCAGCAACTCCCATCTTTTAACGTCTTTTGGTATGACGGGGCGGGGATCGAACCCATGACCTCCCGGTTGTGAGGCGGACGCTCTACTGACTGAGCCAACACTCCGGTTACAAACATGGTATTAAGTGAGGTGTTAATTTTCTAATCCTTTGTCTTTTTGTACGTTGTGAGCGACCTTCTCAGCGGTTGCCTAAATAAAAAGATGGAGGTAGATTACCATGCGTAGCAAACTGAAATCACACAAAGTCCTTGGCAGACCTAAGCTAAAACTTCCCCAGGTCTTTATGTTGCTTGCTTAACACATTGCCCTTCATACAATCCATCAGGCACCATGTCGTATCAAGGGGGTTTCAAACCAAGGACCTGCTGGTTTCAGGACCAGATCTTCAACCACTGAGCCATCATGCCTCCTCTCAGTTGCTTCCATCTAATTATCATTTACTTCAAGTCAGAACTTTGATTTCCCATAACTCAATATTTTTGTTAAGGTTCTCCTCTAAGGAACAATCTCCCTCCTGTACTAAAAATCAGCCCATCACTTAATTATTCTAAACGCTGTGATAAATCCCATCTTTTAAGTTTGTATTCATAATGTGAAATGTAAAATCATGCATGTTTGTTTCTTTCTTTGATTTGTTGTCTGTCTGTCTGTTTGTTTGTTATAATTATGTATGCATCATTAATTTGGGGTCAACATACTATAAGGCCATTTGCTATTTTTTGTTGATCCCTCATTCTTATAATTTGTTTTTGTTCTAATTGCTCTGCATTGATTTCTTTTGGTATTACTCTGTGTTGTGTACATATTTTATGTATAATGTCTTTTATTGTGAATGAAATGAAGACTGAACAGAACTTACCTCATAGATAAAGCACTGGAATATGGTGATTGCTGTAATCAACACAGCATGGAGAGTAAAGATGACATCGTTCAATAACACTGGATTCACACCATATGGATTTTTTGCCTTGTATGCATCCTACATAAAGTGAAAGACATAAAATGTAATAAAGGAAATTTGCAAGGTTGAAACAATAAATCAAGAAAGTTCATTCTTTTAGCCAAAAGACATATCTGGCAGGAAATATTTCACAGGAACACTATTCAAGTGCAATTGAGAGAATCTTGTAAACGAATGATGATAGTAATTGAATTGATATAGCATATTGCATAATTATATAATATTGACTGGCCTTGAGGGGTATATCAGAAATATTGACCAAGCTCAGATCATATTGCCCCGAGTCGAACGACGAGGGCAATATGGTCTTAGCGCGGTCAATATTTCTGATTTCCCCCGAAAGTAAAGCCAGTCAATATTTTTATTGTTATCCAAATTAGACATCTAGAGCAAATACAGAAAGTCACCATGACAATCTCAAGAACTGAACAAACTTTGTCAAACCAACACTGTGCATCCAGTGCTTGACAAAATTTTCGATACACTGCAAACAGTGTGTATTTAATGTGATTATTATGTCACAATAGAGTGCGCGCAAAGTGCGCAGGTTCTCGTACGCATAATAGATGCGCAATGAAAATGCGACGCGGTCAATACAAGATGCCCGCATACGAGATAGACCGTGGAAAATACCAAGGTATATTTTCACTCGTCTCTACACGCAAAGTCAATACGCGCAGGGAGACCAAGGAAAATACAAAGAATATACCCCTCCGTTCCCACTGCTAGTGAAAACTAGGGCAATACGGTTTTGTAAATGACCAGCTCAGATGTCTGATACGGGTAATAATACATTTTAATACACTTCACATTAGTAGATACTATGAATTAACCACAATGATAAATTAATTTTTACAATGCTAGAAATCATTAACCTGATCAAAGAAAGTTTATTATTAACTTGCTCACTGTACCTCTTTTATTCTCCCTATCACTATCACTGAGATTTACAAATGAATTTGCTTTATGAAACAATCAATGAACAAATAGGGTATGGACTAAAGAATTGGGCATTGTTTTACAAATGTAAAATACAATATATAAAAACATTCGTAGCAAATGACATCAAAATTAATGAACTGAATGTGAATTATTAAATTGTATAAAATAATATTCAACTCTAAAATTCTTATTTGATCTCCTTGACTCATTTTATATATATAAAGGATATAAAGAAAAGTGAACAAGAACTTGATGATAGTGTAGAGTAGAGAAAGTAAAGAAAAGAGGATCGTAAGATCATAAGATTAAGAAGAAGATGAAGAGGAAGAAGAAGAGGAAAACGTAGAAAAGAAGGAGGAAGAAGAAGAAGATTCAAGTGGGGATAGTAAGAGGATAGACGGAGGGTAGTGCGAATAGTAACACCATCATAAGTATCAATAGGTGTACTATGAACTCACCTTTATTGGTTCTATCCAGTACATGCCCACATTGAAGACACCGTACGCTACAAAGCCAGTAATATTATAAGCCAAGAAGTCAAAGTTCAAGCCAATTACACTGAGGAGAAAAATTTGTTGAAAAGGTAAGCATCAGATAATATGTAGAAGATAACAGAGACTTTGAATACTTACGAGAGTTCTTGATCTCTCGTAACTTTACGAGAGATTTTTGACTTAAAAGAGACTTTTATGTGTAGACTTTGCTTTGTGAAACAGACTAGTCTCTCGTGACTAAAGTCTCGCATAAGTAGGACACTTAAGAGAGACTTTGGGGTTTATGTCTCTATAAATTCTTAATGAAACACCCCCAAGAAGTATGGTAGTAATATAAAAAAATCACTGTAAATGAACAATACTTCTTCTCTTTTTAAAACAAATCCAAGCCTTAAAAGTATATCTAACATTTTTACTCTTGTACCTTCTGATGAACCAGTACACCGGTCCAGGGTTGAAGTTAAGAATTTGTTTGTGTCCAATATGATCCAAAACATGGAGCCAAAAAGCTTGTGTTACAAAACAAGAGATACTTTATCCTCTGCCAAATTTGTATAAAAAAAGGAGGCGCGATAGCTTGAGGAGGAGCGATAGCTCAGTTGATAGAGCAGTGGTCTCGTAATCCGGTGACCCGGGTTCGAAACCAAGGGGATGCACTGGTGCCCTTTGGTAAGGCATAAATATACTAGGTCTTTCGGAGAGGACCTACAGCCGTTGGTGCTCTGGTTGCTAACTAACAAGCATCTATACTTTCTTAGCAGTCAGGTAAAATAACCACAACCACAACATTTCTATATTTTTCATGTAAAACTCACCTTTTTCGCTTGATATTGAGGATGACTTGAGGATAGAAGGAGACAGACCAAGCGAGGAAGTAGATCCAGCCGACCACTATGACAACGATGGACAATGCACTGCTCTGGACCACATTAACCTCCACAAACAGTCCTGACAAGCTGCAAGAAACCAAGAGGCATAAATCATATTTAGTGCACCATAATTTAGACCATACCTGCCAACATTCGAAAATAAGAATAAGGAATTACTAGCACAGTATGCCTTCCAAAATATGAAATCTGTACCCTTAACAGGCGTTAGCACATGTATGCAGCAACAGTGTAACTGGCAATACGCGGTAAATCTATTCAGAAAAGCGAAAACAAATTTGCTCCTCGATCATGCAGCCATTCAACGCACACAATATGTGAACTCTCAAATCGCGGCACATGATAAAACAAGCACAAAAAAAAAAGAAAAAAGGAATTTAAAACAATCGAAATATTCAGAATTTGTAGGTCCTAAAAATCCAGAAAATCAGAACATTCTGGATTATTCGGGTTGGCAGGTATGTTTAGACTAGTCCCTTTCCTGTAGGGTTTCCTAGCAGATCAGTAGTCCAAGAGACCAACGTCTATTGAGACTGACAGCCGAAGGGACCAACAATAAGGTTTGGTGATGAACCCTCAGACAATTTTTCAGGTGGTGCATGGTCAGTCTTATCAATCTTCTGATAATTTTTCAAAGGCATGTCACAGGCTATCAGTCTCGTTGGTAGTCCAGATTCTGTCTGTTTGTTTTTTTTTTTATCAGATTTTTCCCCTTCCTTATATCCCACACAGAACGTGAAGACTACACTAATCAAGCGATCCCCCCAAATACACCTGTGTTAGCCTTGAGAGTGTGTTTTTTTCTCAGCTGATTAGGCGCGCGACACAGAAACAGTCCAGGCAGTGGACTATCTCTAGAGTCGCAGCCTCTTTTTTTTCGGGCACAACTATTAAAAACTTACATCGAAATTGTCCATAGGGTTTCAACTATCCTACTTTCTTCATTTTGCTATTCAAAGTCACATGAAATAAGTAAGGCTCCCAATACATGGAAGTATTGAAAGTAGGTAATTATACAACTGTACTTACTCTCCTAGCTCTGAAGATGTGGTGTTCATAGATATGTGACACACTCCGACGGAAAGACTGGAGACAGTGATAGACACCGGACTTGAACTGTTAGAAGGTATGTCCACCTGGATGGTAATAAATGAAAGAAATCAATGTAACAATTGTGACATCATTAAAAATGACTTCCATTTCAAATACAATCTGACGTAATGTACACAATCTGGAATGATCTTGTGCATGTTGCGATATCACATTCAGTTGAAATGAGTACACTACAATGTACAGGATTATGCACTTTACCATACATGTACATTTATAGGTGCACCCCTTCATAGCAGTATCACATAAAATGTATTATAGATGACATTACAACCTCTCAAAATAAAAGAGTCACAGCTACATGTAGGTATGTCACGCATCTTCCTTAAAAAATGTATGTTGCCAAAATCTCATGGCGTGAACAAGAATATTACATTTTTATCAATAGCTCAAGACTTTTAAATTCACTCATATATCTAAATAATGGAGCTGTATATGTCAAACAAGCATTAATAAGTCCTAGCACACTTTGATATAAAGTTCAACATCAACATAATGGTTTTATGAGGTGAATACAAACACCAGCAACACAACTGGCTGGGTCGGGGCCACCATGATCAAATATGAGCGAGATAAGTTGTACAGTACGTGCATTGTGACATCAGGTACGTCACTGTGTACATATAGTAGCTCATGCATATAAGACATATTACTACACTGTTAAACAAAGGACAAACATTCAGGCAACTTTCCAGCTGTGATGTTTTAAACCAGTCTTTACTCAAGAAAAGGATAAGGTCAGAATTCTTTGTAGATTTTTTTGTAAATTCGGTATATAAAAGATATATTGACTGCTTTAATATTCGAAGCATACAACTGTAGTTGTTTCTATACTGGGTCTCGGGGACGTTACATCCTGATATGACCTTTTGCATGCCTCGGGGTAATATCAGGAGGTAAAGCCCTGTTGAGCCTATACAGTGTAGAAACAGCGATGCCTCTCATAGCAGTCAATATATCTATACTAGTCTATCCCTGATGCAATAACAAAACTGTTACATGTACATGTACAACATAACAAGGACTGCTAACAAATCAAACCCTAATTACCGTATATATTGCAAAAATAGAATATTGAAATGGCAAACCGGTGTTACATGAACGATGTATAAGTATGTTCTTTACAATAGAAGTTTAAAGAAATAATAATAATAATGAAGTGTTTTAATCATACACTGTACATAGGGAATCTCAAACTAATTCAAAAATATTGAAATGATCATCACAAATATTTTTTCTCTCATATATGCTACAAAAATAATTTTACCTCTTTTGTACTTCTATTTGGTTTATGAGGGTGTTTCAAATATTAGGCAATTGGTAGAAAATACTAAAAATCTCCCTTAAATTCAAATTTTTAGACAAATAATCATATTTGTAAAACTGAAGCTGCACATGTACAGTTATTAAATAGTTTGAGGTAGCTTTTTTTTGTAGTTTCAAAGTTGCTAGCTTACCTCAGATGGTATACTTGCTATTTCATATTTATCATTGAAAAGCTCAATCTGTGCAGTTTCTTGAAGGTCCACTTTTGGTGTGATTGTGAAAGATCCATTCTTTCCTATTTCTACTATCAGCTTTTCAGTCCCCGTCGTGACGTTATAGCCATTTCCAAGCGAACCAGCAAGAGCAATGGTTATGATCAAAGTGAAGATTTTCTCCATGTTAATCTAGGCTGCGTTATAACTCTGCAAGCTTAGAATCCATCAAAACTCTTTTTCCCCTTTCCCGTGCCACCTGTTAAACACAAAAAGACAAGAAAGATTGAAAGAGAGAGATATAGAGGAGGAAATGAATATTTTGAATTCAATGTTTTGACTTAAAATGCTTGCAATCATAGCTTATGTATTAGTACGTCTAGGATCCCACATTTGAAAATAAAAGTGAGTCATTTGAGTGTCACCAAAGTGGTAAAACACAGTGCAACAAACAGAAAATTCAGTGTAGCCTGTAAAGTGGGCCAACAAAAAATGTTCCCAAAACAAGAAATTTCACTTACTGATAGAATAGAAGGCATAATAAACTGAAAACATGCTTTTCATCTTTTCATTATATTTAGTGCTGTAACATCACGGATATCTCCAATTCCGTTTAACCGCCAGTCAAAGCCGGACGATTTAAATTTTTTTTTTTTTTTTTTTTTTTTTTTTTTTTGTGTGTTGTTGACCGACTCTGTCGGCCCAAGCCAGGTCCGTGTGAAAAAGCGAAAGGACTTTCATTTAACTGCGAGGTGCATTTGAAGGCTTGTGAACTTGTCACAAATAATAGTAACAATTACATTTTTAGAAGAATGTGTAAGATCATTAATGTAAATTAAAAACAGTAGAGGACCTAGGATAGAACCTTGTGGTACGCCGTGTGCAAAAGTTGGATGAATTATTATTATAAACTACATATTGAGATCTATTACAAAGATTACTTTCAAACCAAGATGACAGACAAATTGGAGTTTTGTTCTAGTTTCGGAGTGGTGAGTCAACACACAGATTACTGAGCGGGGAGACATTGCCAGGCATAGTGCCAGGTGGAGGGGCATAAATCAAAACTTTAAAAAAAAAAAAAAAAAAAAAAAAAGGGAAAACGAAACCGTCCAATTGAAAACGGAATCCGCTATGGGCGGTCGGATACTGGACGGTTAAACGTTTGACTACAGCACTAATTATATTAGATGTTTGTATTCCTTCCATGCCCCCATGAAGGGGCAGGCTGTTCACAAATTGATTAGCATTGCCCTTAACTAAGATAGAGTTGACAGAGGAGATTCTATAGGAGAAAATAACACAAAAACAATTAGATTCAATAAAATATAGGGTCTAACTGTCTATCCCAGTCATTTCTTTCCTTCCCCTACTTGAAATCAAGTCTAGCCTTTTTTTCTTTTCTTTCTTTCTTTCTTTCTTTAAAGTTTAATCTAACTGACTGTCCTTATCTACACAAACTAACAACATTACAAAAGTACAAATATGCTCATTGATAAATAGTTATCCACAGGCACAGACAACAATGAAGACCAACGTGCAACCAGATGCAGCTGGAGCCAGGCGGCGGTACACGATGTGTGAGCGGCTGCTGCGGGACAGGCCGGGCGCTAGACGGCCAGCATTGACGCGATGTCCGGTATGCGGTTTCCCCGGCGGTTTCTGCCAACTGTAACTGTAAAAGTCTCCATATTTGAAAAAATTCAGGATAAAAACATGACAATGGTACCAAATCTATATTTATAAATTCACAAGTGTTCATAAACATGACTAAAATTTATCCTACTCACCGTTTCTCGTCCAAAATCGGTGTGAAGTTACATGCATTCATGCGACGATCGGAGACCTATCGACTCTATCTGTTGTGTGTACACACATGACTATCATGTGATCAAATGATTTGTCAAATCATCGCATGTATGTTACGTCATAGGTACTACCACGCCCCCTCCATTGCAGGTTCAGTCAAAGGAATGTGAACAATTTTTTTAATGAACCTTCCAGTTTCATGTCCGCTATTGTAAGTTACGTTTTCGAGGCATGATTATGCTATGGGCCACCATACAAAACAAATGAATGAAATTGAAATTATGAAATTACTAGGCGTTTTGAAAATAGGGGGTGGGGTGGCTGAACAGCTAGGCTCTGTCCTCGGGAAGAAAAGTTTCGGGTTGGTGGGGGGAGTTTTATTCCTCCACCCAGGGGCGGATCCAGCCGGTGGCAAGGGAGGGGCCAAAGGGGGGGGGGGGGGCAATTCGTGAGAAAATTTTGCGGCGAATCAGCCAGCCGGCGAATAAGCGGGGGGGGGGGGGGTAAGGATCACATTTTGTTTTGTTTTTGCCCAATTTGTGAGAAAATACTAGTGGCGAATCAGTCAGCTGACGAATAAGCAGGGGGGGGGAGCACAATGTTTGCTTTTTTCCCCATGGGAAGGGGCCCGTCTTTTTTTTTTTAAAGGTAACATTAACGTGTTTTTAACTGTTTTTTGGCAGGGGAAGGGGGCCCGGATACAAAAGGTCAAAAGGTGCAATTTTGCGGTATTTGAAAAGGTTGGGAAACTGCTCGGAGTTTCCCTGTTCCTGATGGAACCAATGTAACCATTATAAAATAGAGTTTCAAGTGACAAGGTTCAAACAGGCGTGAAACGGATCTTCTTCTTTTTTCGCCCTTTCATTTTTCCTTCTTTCTCCCTTTTTTTTTCTTTCTTCTTTTTCTTCTTCCCTCTTCTTTCTTCCTTTGCAATTTTGTTCCGGCTCTTCCGGGGCCTGGAACTTCAAAAAACAGACAAAACTTCGAAGAAAATTCTTAATTACAAGGCTGATATGCAAAGTCCAAGTTTTAGGCTCAAATTTCAGCCAGAGGCGGCCCTCCCGGGGAGGGGGGGGGGGGGCAGAGGGGGCACAGTGCCCCCCACTTTTTCACGCACCCGAAAAGTGCCCCTTTTTACATAGGAATAGTGCCCCTTTTACTTTGAAAAGTGCCCCTATTAATTAGTTAAAGTGTCCCTTCAACTTTTCAACTCTGATAAGTGCCCTTTTATTTGGTAGCGTGCCACTTTTCCTTCGACAAGTTCCCATTTTCTTTGCAATAAGTGTCCATTTGCCATTCTCATAAGTGCCCTTTCTCTGGTAAATGACCCTTTAAAATCATTTTCTTTCAACTAATGAACATTTTCCTTTATTATAAGTGCCCCTTTTTCATTCACATAAGTGCCCCTTTTCATGTTTGCACATAGCCCCTTTTCAGGTGCGATAAGTGCCTCTTTTCACCCCTGATAATTTTCCTTTTAACAATGATACGTGCATATTTTCGTTTCTAATAAGGGACCTATCCCCTAGTCATAAATGCCCTTTTTCACCTTTTATAAATGCACCTATCAAAATCTGATGGGAGCCGTTTTTTTCCGTCGACAAATGCCCATTCCCTATTCTCATATGACTGACTTTTTTCCCCTGGTGAGTGCCTTTTTTTTGAGGGTGTAAGAAGTACCCTATTTTCACCTCTGACAATTACTCTTTGTACTTTGACACATGCTCCTTTTATTTTCTCATAAGTGTCCCCTTTTCCTCTCATCATTAAACGCGCCCCTAATTTCAAACGACTAAGAGCAATTTCCCCCAAAGCTCGCATGCATCTATAGATGATATACTTATGTTATCAAAGGACTTTTCAGTCTTTCGTTATGAGAATGTGCTTATAACCCCATCAGGATTGGGTTTTTTCCTCTTTATAAGATGTAATTTTTTCGCACTGCGACCTCATAAATCTTCAAATTTTTCCTCGCTCGCAATTTCCCCCCCATCACACCCAAATGCAAAGCATGATGCTTAACAATATACAGGGTGTATCATAATAAAGGATATTGAAGTTTAATGACGATTTATATGAAAACTACTGATTTCATAATCAAGCACTTATGTCTGTTGTAAAGGACAGAATGTCCTCTTTTTAATGACACCCCAATCATACTTCTACTGTCACAGTTGACTGAATAACAAAGCATTGCTGTCCACCATGTGAAAGGTGCACTGTGCCAAGTTTGATAACATTTCCTTCTTAGACACATAATCCACTCATTGTTCAGCATTTCAATATGTCTGGGCTGACACAAGCACTAATCTTTGAATGCTAACTTGTCACAGTGCACCTTTCACATGGTGGACAGCAATGCTTTGTTATTCAGTCAACTGTGACAGTAGAAGTATGATTGGGGTGTCATTAAAAAGAGGACATTCTGTCCTTTACAACAGACATAAGTGCTTGATTATGAAATCAGTAGTTTCCATATAAATCGTCATTAAACTTCAATATCCTTTATTATGATACACCCTGTATATTAAGAAAATATTGTAATCACAATGTAAGGGTATATACCAATGTTTAAAAAACCCGCATATTTTCGCTTTGAGATTTCCTTTTTGTAGGTGCCTTTTTTCTTCAGAAAGTGCCCTTTTTTCTTGGTGCCCCCCCCCCCCCCCCCCACTTTGGAAGTCGCTCGATCGGCCGCCCCTGCTTTCAGCCATGTGTTTGGTTGTTTGTATCGAACAATAGAGGATTATTCATGTAAGCTTAAGCTTATTGGAAGCATTAACTGAACTGCCACGCATACAAACAAAGAGCAAAACAATGCTAGCAATATTATTATTTTTTCATTATATATCTCTCTAGCTCTTCCACCCATCGCTGATGAGACTGAGAGCAGTTTGATGATGCATACAGTATATAGTCCGAGGGGTCACTAGACATTATCGTTGTAAGATTGTAAATATTCGGCCAATACAAAATTGAGCTCAATTTATTTCGCTACCAGCATGGAGTATGATTATACGTAGAATCCTAGGCTCGTTTTTGTTGTCTGTTGTTTTACAATTAACAACAGAAATCTTTTCCCATTAGGCCTAAAATCAAGAAGAAGAAGAAGAAAAGAAAAGGAAAAAAATTAAAGGGGAAGTCCATCTGATATAAGTTGGTTTTGATCATAGAAGCAGACAAATGAGAGAAACTGGTCATTGGAAGTTTGAGCAGAAACCAATTAGAATAAGAAAGTAGTGAACATTAAAGTGCGATCAATCAACTCAGTAACACAAATTGGCAACTCTGTGACGTATCTTGAGACTTCCCCAGCCTCCCATTTGCCCTCGAATCTTGAACCTTCAGGAGTCAGGACCATGACGTAATCCCTGCAGGGCCAATGCACGGCAGCAGTGGCGTACCTGGGGTACTCCGTCAGGGGGGGGGCAAGCGACCGAAACAAACAAAAAAAAGGCGATGCTAATTTTCACTTCTGGCGAGCGAGCGAGCAAAAAAAATTCTTTAAGTAACGTTTGGTATATAAACTGGTATTGTTGCATGTTGGGGTGGGAGCATTCACTTGTTAGCGACGTTAATTTCATTTTTTTGCAAACGAGTGTAGCGAGCAAGAAAAAAATCAATTCTTTTTTAATAATTGCCACTTAAACTTGGTTCAATTGTGTATTGTGTTTAGGGTGATTTTATACCCATTTTAGCTAGCGAGCGAAAATACATCTTTCTCTCAATGAATTGCTATATAAAATTTGTTTCATTGTTGCGGGTAGGGGGCGGGCACAATCGTGTTTAAGGCAATGTCAATCCCATTTTGGCGGGCAGGCAACCCCCTACATTTCTCTTTTTAATGATATTGTAGCAGGGCACATAATTCCACGAGCTAGCGAGCGTAGCGAGCGAAAAAAAAAATCACTTCTCTTTTATAGGGAAAATATGGTACATAAAACTTGGGTTCATTGTTCCATGTCAGGGACGTGATTATTAAAAGCGGTGTTATTTCTATTTTGGCGAGCGAGCGTAGTGAGCGAGCAAAAAAAATCACTTCTCTTTTATAGGGAAAATATGGTATATCAACTTGGGTTCATTGTTCCATGTCAGGGACGTGATTATTAAAAGCGGTGTTATTTCTATTTTGGCGAGCGAGCGTAGCGAGCGAGCAAAATTTTTGTAATGATAATTGGTTCATAAATTTCAGATTTTTTTGTTGCAGGGCAGGGCTTACACAATCATGTCTAAGGTGATGTTAATTCCGTTTTGGCGAGCACGAGCACACCAAAACTTCTTTGAATAACGTTTGGTACATAATTATTAACTGGTTGTTGCAGGTTGGGGCGGGCACGTTAGCGGTGTCAATTCCATTTTGGCGAGCGAGCATAGCGAGCAAGCAAAATAATAAATTCTCTTTTAATAGAAATTAATAAATAAATTTGTTTTTATTGGTGCAGGTCAGGATGGACGCAATCGCGTTTAACGCGATTCAATTCCTTTTTGGCGAGAGGGCGAAAAAAAACTCTTCCATTTTTAATGATATTGTTGCAGGTCAAAGGTGGGCACAATTGTTTCCAAAGCAATGTCTATTCATTTTATTCGCGAGCGAGAAAAATGAATTAGTCTCTTGTAGTAACATTTGGTACATATATTGTGTGTTATTGTTGCCATGGTTGCAGGTCGGGGCCCGTCGGGGCAGGCACAATTGTATTATAGGCAATATTAATCCTTTTCTTTTTTCAGGGGGACGAGCAAGTGAAAACATTTAATACAAAATAGGCTAGCAAGCAGTTCGCGCCAGCGAAGAGTTTCGAATTTGTTATATCACTTATATTTTCCTATTTTCATTTGTTTTAATTTTTCAGGGCCGTATGCGGAATATTTTTCTGGTGGGGGAGGGGGAAAGATGCGTTAAAAGTTTTCGAAGAATCTCAAAAGCAAAATGAGTGAAGGGAGTTCGAGCGACCGAAGTGGTCATGAGGGTACTTTTGCATTTTCAAAAGTAGAATTGAAGGATTTGGTATAGGCCTACACTACATTTTCAGGAAAAAACTGTACGTTTTCAAAATATCTGGGGTCAACTGCCCCCTCCCCCTAGTGCGTACGGCCATGGTCTTTTTTTTAAAAAAAA